CTTTACAAAATTGAGTTATATATGATTCAAGTTTTAATTAGATAAAATAAAAATATGATATTTAAACTTCATACATGATGAATTTTAATTTTATTTTATATGTAAAATTAAATAGTTCTATTATATTTAAACATTGAATACAATAATACTCAATAAATTTATAACGTTTAATTGCGTTCAAAATAATAACATTTTTTTATACATATCAACAAGTAGAAAATTTAAATATCAATATGTAACACCGTCTAAATCGATTTCTCAAAAAGGATAGGGTTTTGCACGCATTCCCGCCGCTGCTTGGCTGCAAATGGAACGCGCGTGCTGGCGCCTAATTTGACGGTATGTCAGATCCAAAGCTACGCAGAGTGCACGCCCGCCGTGCGATTTTGCACATCTTGCCCTAAACGGTTCGACCAGCAGCCGCTTCCGGACTGCTTAGGTCCTCACACGCGGGCAGGGCGGGCATCCTGTCGTCTACCAATTCCTCGGCTCCTCCCCATGATTGGCTCATTTCTGCATGACCTGGCCTCATCGACGGCCAGATTCGCCAGGAATATGACGCCAGGCTATACAATTTTTGACGCGTTATGGATTCTTGTGTCTAACTTACTGTGTAACTCGTTTTAACTTTCAAACATTGACTACCATAATGTAAAACGTCCCTGTATAGACTGTATTTAATGATTTGTCCAAAGTTTTCCACAATCTGCTTTCGTTGTTGTGAGGTTGTTTCTGAAGTTATACATCTTGTGTTTTTCTTAAGATTCAATTGTTCTTCAGTTGTTCTCACATTGTTTGATTTGGTTTCACAGGTGTGTTCTTGTAGGCTAGTTTCAAGGTGCTTTTGAACATTCTTGCCAAAAGTATTGCACATAATCTGCTGTCGTTGTCAGGTTGTCGATGAATTTGTACGTAGTGTGAAACTCATAAGTTTCAATCGTTAGTTCTCACAACGTTTCATTTGGTTTCACAGGTGAGTTCATGTAGTCAAGTTTCAAGGTGCTTTGAAAAATTCTAGCCAAAGTATTGCATAGGTATACTTCCAAGGTTTTTCTTGGAAGTATCCTTGAAAACACAGGTTACAATGTTCTCAAGGATACTTCCAAGAAAAACCTTGGAACCAACCTCTACATGAAAACCAGCCAGTTTCTCAAAAGATTTAATACGAATAGAAGATCTCGAGGAATTATTTCAAGCAACTTATCAGATGCAGGTCAGAGAGAATCCTAGTTCTCACTTTGGCCATATACTCAGATGTATGCCCGTGCAGATGTTGGTAACATCATCAATCTCCTGCATGAACTGGATGGATAAACAAGAAAAGTCTGCATCTGATAAGTTTCTTGAAGCAATTCCTCGAGATCTTTTATTTATATCACGAGCTTTGGACACTGGGTTGATAATTCCGATTCAAATCTTATGGTGAGGAGGCAATGGGTACTTCAGAAATTGTGCCAATTGATGATATGACTTCTCAATCTCAATCTCACGAAAGCCAAGATTGGCTTCTAACATTTGAAACCATACATTATCAGTTTGAATGTGCTACTTATATAGAATATGATCAATCTTTGGTTGCACAAGAAAAGTGCACAAGATGGTATTGTGAAAATTATGCATCAGCAATCAATATACCTTATCTGGCTTGTAGAAGACTTTCACAAACAGATGCTTATCAACTGACTATGATGAACTAGTTGAAGGACAATAGGAAAATCTGGTTCTGGAAGAGGTTCACATTCATTGATGCCTTAAGTGCATGGCGGAATGGCTAGAAGTGTTTTTGTCAAAGATTCTTGACAGGAACTGGAACATGATGCATTTCTAGAACTTGATAGTTGAAGACTATCCTTATCACTGGAAAGCGCATGCTACATTTTTTCAGATTACTATTTAACCAGAGTTTTATCTTCCTAGAGAGTAAGGCGATGAGATTCTGACAAACGTTTTTACATCTTTAGTCTGCGAAGAATGTAGTGATCAGGTCTCTCTTTGATTTTCTAACCTCATTTGTAAGTATCATAGGAAGTACATTGTAAGCATTCGAGATGAAGCTCGAGGAGTTTCGGGTACAATGCCATGAGCACCCTGGAGCACAAAGTCTACATTTACAATGCAAGACTTATAAGACACTTTTTTTAAGATAATTATAATGAGCATCTGCTGGACTCTTTCTATCACATATCACCTATTGAAGTATGCTGAGTCTTCACCTCGTGAAGAGTATAAGCGTGAGCTGATCCTTAACTTTTCAGAGACAGAGGTCACTCCTAGATAAAAGATCACTTTTGTTGTGTGTGCTTGTCACCATTCAGCAAAACAAAATGTGTATGTGGATGCAGGTCTGCAGAATGCAAGCAATGTTTTGCTCTCTAGTTGTACCCATATATCCAGCTAATGAAAACCTTGTCAAGTTTGGATGAAATTTACATCACTTTTAAGAAGCATAGAGAAGATGCAATTTACGTGTTCCTTGAGTCAGCCTCAAATCTACCATCAAGTTACAAGTATGACTATCATCTGCGTGATCTGAACCTTCTTATGGCAGTATTTAGTAATAACAGTCTTCATCCTGATGTTTTCTGGATGTACTTGCTGATCATATTCTTCTAGTCGGGTGATGAGTTATTAATATCTTATGATCTTGACGTCAACTTGTGGTTGATATGATCCTGGAAATATAATGTAATGTCTATTTATTCCATTCATCTGATTTGATTATTTTTCTAGTAAAAAATCGCTGTAACCGTAATGAGGCCTCTGTATGCCAAAATGTTTCTATCAGTGGCTAAAACTTGTTGTTCTTCTCTTCAGTCCATGCTATTGACTACGTAAGTTAGTGTGAGCAATACAGGTCGATGGCGAGGGAGCAAGTTCCTTCACTGCTCATGAGATTCATGAAAGACAGAAACATTTCGATATAGGATGTCATTATCCAGTTCAAATTTTGTTCCAGCATATGAGATTCCTATGCTTGAAAGCTATTCGGTTGTTGTCTTTTGGAACATAGCAACGAAGAAAGGGACGTTGGATTCTGTTGAATGCTCAACAACTGATCGTTGGTTGACTTTCGCTGGATGTCAGTGCCGACTTGGTGCTTAAACAGTTCAAAACTTTACTCAGAAGTTTTTGTTGTTTCAGTTGTCATCTAAAAACAGAAGCTAGTGAGAAGGTTGCCACTCTCCAAAATTGGCTTGCATTATAACGTGACGTAGCGTAAACATGTAGATGTATGTTAAAATCAAATATCTAGCTTGAGTTTAGTTTTTTAGCTCATAATAGAAACATTTTATCAATACATCTGATCTTCATTCAGCAGGATTAGTTCATTTATTTTCAAATGTTGCCTACTATAAACTGCGTAATGTAACCCGGTGATTCCAGATAAAAAATCCTTACTTCGAGATAGTTTTTACGAACTTGGTTGTTATCAACAAGTCACATTTTAAGAACGTGTTTCGGCTTTTCGGTAGTCGATTCCTTTTTTGTCATCTTCAAGATGCTGTTCCGAAATCATTATCCATCTTGAGAGGCTCTTTGTCGAGCTTAGATACATGCCTATTACAAGCAGCAATATTGGAAATGATATTCCGCATAATTTTAAAGATAACTACCTATCCTAAATGAACTGTATGGAATGTTTTCTTCAACCTCAGAGCATAAATTGTAACCTCAGAGCATAATAATGAGTATAAATTGTAAATCGTAAAGTATGTAATGAACTTCAAAGTCGAATTGATGTCAAATTTGAGCAAAAATTCATCTTCTGCTTTCAGTTGATAGTCTAGAGAAAGTATATACCGTCATGCACTAAGTCCCTTGCTTTCAAGCAGATAGTATGCTATATGGTGTACGCCTTCTTGACCTTCTATCCTCACCAGATCTGCTTTACTGGGATATTGTGCCTCACAAGAGCTGGATGGCAAGTTGTGTGTCAATAAGAACCGCATTAGTTCACAAGAGGGAGCACAGAAATGCATGAATCATGAAAGGAAAAATTCTAGACCCTTGAGTCATGCTGGCAAGCCTCTTGGATACATCATGCAATACTCATTATCTAGATTTTTTGGTCCTCTATGCTTGATAAAAAATTTCTTTTTGGCCTACTTCAACCTCTTAATCTGAAATATGTACACCAAGTATGTTATAAAATGAAAATAAAGCTAATTTTCATCTAGATCGTCATCCAGAGGAGTAGAATGAATTAATGTGGGCGACCTGTTGTCGGAGTTTCATGAACCGCAAAATCGACTATTCTCTTATCTACTATTGTGGTTCAGAGCCTCGTCCCACGCAGTCGCATACAACAGGCCATAACAACACTGTAGTGTGGCCAACAACAAAGGTAGATCGCATCTTTTAGGCACGTGATACGTCATACGCGTGTTCATCTTGATGCCAGGCATCTGATCATGCAGGCTCGTCTCAACCGCTCTGAAGAGTGAGCACCGGAGTGAATGCTGGCGCTTATGCGCACAAACTATTGAAAGGTTGACAGTCGTGACAAACCTATGTCCGCAACACAAATCCTCAGTGATGCCGAGCAGGTCTTCGTGTACTGAGATTCGGACAGGAACTGGTGAGCGGTTCGATTCGACCGTTCGCTCACGAGCTTCATGAAGCTTATGTCTCCACAGCGCCATCCAAATGAGCTTCGGGTCAATTCCATTGCAGTACGGGGCCCGCTGAAGTGGACTCCAAAGTCTTAACGAGTCCCAGAATATGGGCTTCACGCCCCGCGGCTATGGAGCGTAAGACGAACGTGAGACCACCTAGCGAGCGGGGTGAAGATAGTTGACATTGTCCTTGCCCATTTGAGTGATGCATAAGTTAGCGCGATTCACAAACCTTCAATCCTGGGGGGAGGGGGGTGGGGCAATGTCATGTGCTCACGGAAAGCGTCGCTAACTCTTAAGCTGAAAGCCTTCTTCAGTTCAACGAGGAGGTTCCTCGGAGGTGATCGTAGACATAATTTTGGTGTTGACTGACTAGAACGGGAAATGGAGGAAAGAAGCAAAGAGTCTTCTGCATTGGTGCTTCCGAAGGCCCTTCCGAAGACCACTATGGAGTGGGACAGCGATGAGGAGGCGAGCTCGTCGGAGCTAGCTTTCATGGGGAGGTCGTTATCGGAGGACCTTCTGCTGACTGTGCTGAGCAAGCTCCCGCTCGAGAGCCTGAGGAGGTTCCGTTGCGTGTGCAGAAAGTGGAACGATCTGCTCATGTCTTGGGAATTCTCTCGCTCGATTTGCCACAAACCCGGGAAGCTAATTCCGCTGTATCCGGGTGATGGAGAGCTCAATCTTTACGACACTAGCAATCGTTGCTGGTTGCAGCGCGACCTCAAATTTGGAGATGATCAGGGTTTGTTAATCGAAGATCAGGGATATGAGCTGGTCGCATCGGGTGGGGGCCTGTTGGCCTTTCTTGCCAAGCCGCAGCTCGACGCCAACTGGCGAGAGCGATTTCCGACATTCATCGTTTCCAACCCTTTGACACGACAGTCCCACAGAGAGCGATTCCCAACATTCATCGTCTCCAACCCTTTGACACGACAGTACCACAGATTGCCGACTTCAGTCGTCCATGGATCGCGTTCCCTCAACATCCCTGAGGTAGGACATCTGTTGTGTGGAATAGACGTAGATCTGGAAACAGGGTATTACACTTTCTTATTTTTGGATACTCGTTCCATTGAGGGCGAAGGGGAAACTTACGTCTACGACTCCAAATTGTGCTCATGGCGGATCTCTCACTTGGTCCACCTGCCCTGGCTCCCCTGGCGAAACTTGCCAAGGATGCTCGAACTCTGCAAGACGATAAGTATAAACTCTGAAATCGTTCAAAAAGCTCTGAAATCGTTCAAAAAGCGGAGCAACCCGACAAATACGAGATCATTCTATGCCCTGTCTTGTGTGGCTCTACTCAAAAGGCCAGCAGCATCCTGAAGGAAAAGAAAATTGTTACTAACTGTTGATAGGAATGTCTCATTCTACTATCGTACATCATGTAGTATATATGGGTCTAGAGTGCTACATCGAGCGTAATCCTATTTTTGTATTTCATTACTCTCTTAAAGTCACAAAAGCAATTAAAGATACTTTGAAAAGTTAACGTTTATAATATAGAAGAAGACTTACCAAAGTGCCCGGATTTTGGCTATTCAGAGCCGAAAGGTAGAAAGCTGTTTCTGTACCAACATTCAACTCAAAATGTAACAAACCACGAGGAAAGACGATGAGATCTCCCGGGTTCAGAATGTGGATGTGAGCTTGTCCTGCAGACAAATGGTCCAGAAGTAAAATTTCAGGGAAGGGATTCACATATACATCTAAGACCTAACCGAATCCAATGATGATTTGCATCAAGTTCGCAAACACCAGAACCTTTAGTGTCGACAAAACCAGCCTGAAGTGGACCACCACTGATCAAGGAAAGAAGCTCTGTAGCACGGGGGTGTGTGTGGGGTACGTTCTCTCCACACGGTACCATCTTGAACTGAACAACGGTCAGACCTCAGACCTGCAAATGCCATAAAGATAAAAGATGAAACTCTATATAGTCAATCAAAGAGTTTCCCTTCGATATAAGACATGTCTTTTGTGCATCTGATTTGAAACCCAGAAAAAAGAAATGTCTTGCTGGATTCGACGTACGTAAGGCCAGGGAAATTTCCGATGTCGAGGGCTGCTCGAACGCCTCCAGATCCAATAGATACATCTCCATTGACAAAGATGTTGCGGAAGACTGGAGTAGTTGCGTTTGCAGAAAAGTCGACGGGAGGATCGGGATCGGCAGCTTCGACTCTCTGTACCAGCACCAGGCATGTGCTGTAAATGAAAAGAAGCATAATTATGCCATGCACCATCTTGGACGTGCAATCAACCTTCGAGAAGTTCATGATCGTCGTCTGTATTCAACTTTTGGTGTGAAGATGAAAACACTCGATAAAGTAGTTCGCCAGGATCTGTGATGAAGGCCGATGCAAGGGAAGGTAGATCTTCCTGAGCCTGCTGGAGAGGTGTTTTTAGCTTGCCTTTATACACCTGAATGAGTTTGGTCGCCTCGATTTCATTAGTAAAAATGTCGTATCTGGTTGCTATTTGATCGGAATGCTCTCACGCTTAGCTTGTGAATTGCTAGGTTGTTGTATTTCATGTATGGGTTAAACTCTTTCTTATACATTATCGACTCTTTCAATCAATTTGGTATCAGATTTCAAGCTTTCATCTGTTCTTTGGTGAATGTAATGTGAGGTCATCTTCAGGCCAAGACAGGAGAAGTAGGGTCAGTCTGATCACTATTTTCGAATCAAATGGTCATGTGAAGCCGCACAGTTCAAATATACAATCATACACATGTTTATTTATTTTCAGCCTAACCCGTTGTATTTGAGATCGGAGATCAGCCTCTCTGGTTGTGATCATTCTTGCGAGAGAAATTTGAAGGATGTGAATTGCATTCAGCGAAACCGATTGACTGAGTTCGCTGCGATTCTCCAATAAGTTCCATTCATTTTTGAGGTCAATTCAGTGTGGGCAGTGTAACTAAACATTCTTGAATGACAAAAACCTTTGCTGTAGCCTAAAGACAGCGAGTATGCAACAAATCACACGAATGATCAGCAGCGAAGGGAAAATATAGTCTAGGAATAATACTAAAGGCAATACAAACATGCACAGATTAGTTAACCAGGTTCTCATGATCGTGTATTTTCCAGATCTACAACTGCTACCAAGATTAATGTGTACAATTCAGCAGATGTGTGTGTAGTTTCTAGGAATGATCAGCCAATAGCTATGAATATGTACCGTACAAATCAAAATCTGTTGATCATGAGTTGGAAAGAAAGTGAACTAAGAGTCAAGGCTGAACCGAAGCTTAAGCTACCTTTATTGATCTACAGGTTACAAGTTATTTCAACAACCAAGCTATCAGATAAGGGAGCACTTTCAGATGCATTCTAACTTCCTTGAAAATACTGATCAGCCTTGCCATGGTCTAGCTGTGACATGATCTAGACCCAATGGGGTGGCAGAGCTTATCAATGGAACGCTTGTCTAGGCCCAAATCTTTACAAAGAAACTCCGGGGGGATGGAGAACACACTTCGTCCGTAGCTCCGAGTGAAGGTTTGTACAGACAGAAACTGAAATTGCCTTATATGCCTCTGATGTTCGTGCAAGACATCTTGGGCACCTCCAAATTAGACATAGGTTGCTTAGTATGATAACCCCTCATTTCACCAAGTACTCTGTATAACTTTGCATCGACGGATATTTAAGTGTCATGTTCAGATTCCAATTCTTTCACCTCAAGAAGCAGTCAAAACTTTTTTTCCTCATCGAACCATCAACTTGATACTTCTTGAGTAAGGACGCATAAAACAGTGGATGACGCGCCAAATGTAGAGAGATATTCAAGGTCTGCATGTCTTATAAAGTATTGTTTTGCACATTGTCATGCAGACTTCTATCATAGCATCCATGTGAACATGCAGAGTAAAGAAATGCATGAAACATATAGAGAATAGTAGCGTGTTATTAAAACAGTTATCCATACATGCACAGCGGTCTGATCTCTCTAACAAGAATTAGCACAACGCGACAGTCTCATCTGCGAACATATTTACAAATGATCTGGGCTGAACATGAAATCAATGTGGATGATCACAAGGTATGTACAACAAGATGGGCTTAAACCGACCCTACTTCCACTATCATGGCCTGAAGGAGAACTCCCATGACATCTAGACAAGAGAAGATAGAATCCTTTCAATTCTCATACAAAATTATGATGGAAACAGCGCTGCAGTTGATAATGTTCAAGTATGGAGCGTTCCCAGACATGCAACGCACCAGTTCACAAGCAAAGCGTGAGAGCATTTCAGGAATTTAGATTCCAGATACATAATTTACGAAATTTGTAAATGTCGAATTCAAGATGAGACACCTCAATCAGGTGTATAAAGCCAACTCAAAACCTTTATCCAGCAGGCTCAGGAAGATCTTCCAACTCTTGGATCAGTTCTCTGCATAGACCCTGACTTCCTACAACGTCCTCTGTTTTCATTTTTCACACGTGAAGTTGAATACAAGCGACGATCATGAACTTCTCGAAGGAGGATTGCAAGTCCAAGATGGTGCATGGCATGGTCAAGCTTGTTTTCATTTTCAGCACATGCCTGGTGCTGGTACAGAGAGTCGAGGCTGCCGATCCTGATCCTCTGGTCGACTTTGCAGCAAACGCAACTACACCAGTCTTCCGCAACATCTTTGCCAATGGAGATGTAACGACTGGATCTGGAGGAGTTCGAGCAGCTCTCCACATCGGAAAATTTCCCGGCCTTACGTACACAATTTCCAACCAAATTCTCTTTCTTACTGTGTTATAAAACAAATACACAATTAACATGTTTTTTTTTGCGTAGAGAAAGTCTTTGCTTGAGTACGCATGAATTTATCTTTTAATTTTCCGAACATTTGCAGGTCCGGGGTCTGACCGTTGTTCAGTTCAAGATGGTACCGTGCGGAGAGAACGTGCCACACACGCACCCGCGTGCCACAGAGCTCCTTTCCTTGATCAGTGGAGGTCCCCTACAAGCTGGCTTCGTTGATACAAAAGGTTCTGATGTTTTATCCATGATTCACATCATCATTACATCTCGGATGGGACTAATATACAGAATAGGGAAACTCCTGTTAGTTCATTCCTTAATTATTAATATTTCGATCATTTGAATGCAGGGGAAACTCATATACACATTCTGTACCCAGGAGATCTCATCGTCTTTCCTCGCGGTTTGCTACATTTTGAAATAAATGTAGGTACAGAAATAGCTTTCTACATTTCTGCTCTGAACAGCCAAAATCCAGGCACTTTGGTAAGTCTCATTCCATTCCATTTTGCCGTTCAATTTCAATTATTATCTGAAGACATCATTCTATTAGAGGAATAGGAGAGACTGTAGCGTCCATATATATTGTATTGTCTCCAAAAATACAACTACACATTATTATCGATGGTTCTAACTACGTGGTCCTACTTCAGGATGCTGCTGGAGCGGTTTTGCAATTGCCGGAGCGTGCCGCTGCTATAGCTCTCAATATTGACATTGCAGCGGTTAGAGCCCTGAAATTACAGAGACCTTACAACGAGCCCCCGACTCTGGAGGCTGCCAAGCCAGGAGTATGTGTGCCCGGCCAGTTGATTACCACCACCGTCTGACAAGATGTAGAGTGAATGGGCAGTACGATACAGAGGCCGTCACCTCTTTGGAGCTGAGATCTCATAAAACCTTCCTGAGAAGCTGCAACTTGTCCTTTAAAGCTATTCATAACAGTAACATGGGCTGCAACTTTCTGACGTCAACTTAGAATTAATTCTTGTAAAACGACTTCATCAATTCGGCATTCAAAACCCATAAGTATCGAACTGAAGATAGATCATTAGTCGGTATATGCAACTATTTCGACTACAATCACACGAGCACGTTAAACCCTCAGTCTGATACAAGAGATATTGTTCAGCAAAATGTGAGTTGGAAAACGTTCCCAGAAACTAACTAATAGTCACTGTCCAACTGATAGATGGACAGTCACAAATCTAAAGCTTGACTTTCAATATCAAGAGCTTTTGCTAGCTAAACCTGAAGAAGAAAGATAATTTGCAGAATTCAGTACAATCGGCTAATCTGCAGGATCACATCGATAGTGATATAATGGTCTGCAGGATACTGATTGCAAGAGTGGTAAAGTATGTTCAAGGAAAAAATAGTTGTATAGGCTTCCCTGCAGCTGAGAGTCATGTGAGAGTTTGTATTCTGTTACTTGTGTAATGCCTATGATAGGGAAACAATGACAGAAGAATTGTGATCTATGGATGTTACACATCTAGCGGGGAATTCTGGCCGAAATTCTTGCTGGGAAAAGTGTGAGGGTGCAAGAAAAGACCGGTAACTCTTATTCCTATGCATATTGCACCTTTCTTTTTTGGACCCTCCCTTGATCATACCATGGTGATGAAATAATAGGCAGAAGACGACACTATCCTTATTTCAGCCAACATAAGCCTCGTGTTGAAGGTGACTCAAACCAATTAAAAATTGATATTCCTTATTTATAAATGTCGTGTACAGTTTAGAACATCCAAAATGTCGTGTACATTTAAATTTGGCCGATCCGATTTGGATTTCATCCTCCTTTTCCGTGATGAAATTTTTGTGATTGCCCATTCTCCTGTACAAAATGTTGGCATTTAAGATTTAATAGTGGAATCGTGGAACATTCAAAATCAGAGATCTCCATGATTCACTGTCTGCGCGGTTGCTATATATATACCAGCTCCACAAATAACCACAAGGATGTAAATTCATGATCTGTGAATGCTTTTCTGCGCCCAGAAAATCTCTCTGCACAACACGTACCCAGTTTACAAAGGAGAGAGTTCGGAAGAACTCTTCACTGTTGGGGACAAAAACACGAGGGACGCCGCAGAATTGACATACGAGATTCAACTCGAGTCTGAATCAGAACCTACCTTCCCAGTGAAGGGTGACTTTGTTCGTCGCAACTATGAAATCATTTTCAAAGTATCGTCGATTGCGGCGGAGGTGTGTACTTCAGCAGTTCCAAAATAATAGTCGAGATGACGATTATAATCCTTTGAAGGTTTAGTCAATCAGCGTCCACATTGAGATAGAACTTGTATCTAGTCATGACTTCATTTGAACTAGTTTCATTATTGACTACATGGTAAATGATCTGCGCATTTTTTAATGCAGGTTGCGATGAAGCATTTCTCCCTGACCTCTATGATTACGGGCAGAAGCAATTATGGAGTGCTTGTTAGTCCCAACGTTGATCAGGCGTTTGTGGCTGCTGTGGTTACAATGATGGAAGCTATCCACAATGAGAACAAGGAGAAACGTGGTCGCAAGCACTCAGACTGATTAGAAGAGCATTTTTCCAATTCATCTGTCAGAGAACAGGATCATTTTTCTCGGATATCTACATACCAGGTCCAATATGCATAGAGAAAACTTGTTTTGGAGAAACTGATATTTCTCCAGATGCGAAAAGCAGATAAAGCTGACCATTGGGGTCTTTGCTCATTTCGAAGGATTGAATAACTTGATTTTTTGAGAAGTTTGAGCAATTTTGTGTGGAAGTACAGGCTCCTGTGAGTATGCCCGATTGTGTGTTGTAGGGCAATATTGATTGTAAGCTCGTTGTAGAGATATTCATCTCGGATGTGAAATCTCTTGTGGATTGAATTTTAAGCTTTAAATCTAGTGAAGCTCGTGGGTAGGCATGTCTTCAGCTTCTAGATGGGAAGCAACCTGGTCCCGGTACAGATCGATCGGGAAGAAATTTTGAGACAGCGGTAGTCAGCGTCTTGACATTGCTGGTGGGAAAATTGATTCCTTGCTGTCAGTATACATCTGTAGCAACAACCTTCATCTTTACCTCAACTTCAACTTCAGTTGTCAGTGACCCAGATCTGTTCATTTTGCGGCTCAAACATTCGTTTCCGAATCTTTAATTAAAAACCAATTCAGAGATTTCGAATCGTCTTCGAGCTTTTTGAAACGCCACTGACATTCACAACAGATATTTAAACTATGTTTCAGTATCCTATGCCCACACAAGCACCCTGAATTGTAGTAGGCTGGTTCATAAGAAGTGTACTCAACGCCCCGATTCGGATGTGCAGGTCATAAGTGAGATTTCCAAATTTATCGGGGTCGATGCCAATCAAAGGCAAGGCTTGATCAGACAGGCGAAGAAGAAGGGAGAGAAGCTGTGATTCCTGGCATAGATAATAATATGTTATGCGAATGTTTAGGAGGGAATCGACTCCGTTCAATGTAGAGACTGAATGCCCATTATGTCAGACCCGTGCAACGAGACGAGACCTTCATCTGTAGTATGGTTCTTCCGATTCTTGCAGTGGAGCCAAGCCTCTCTCTCTGACATTAGGACTGTTATTTTATCACTTCTGTCATATATATAGCTAAGCCTGATAACGCCGGATTATCATTAATCTGCAAGCCGCATAGCTTCAGCTGTGAACACATCTCCTGCCAACTGGCTGGGACCACAGAAATTGAAGATTACGACTCGAATTTTTATGACGCACCATCCGAGACTTAGCTGATTGCCTTTGCACATCCTTGATTTCTTGTCACTATTGAGATGTTTCTTGGAGCGTTCGGTTCCTCTCATCTGTGTAGACGTGATTTCAGTCATTCGTGACAAACATTGTGAAATGCATCGTTATCTCAAGACTTTGGCGAGATAACGATTCAAACACTACACACCTTATCAATTAGAAGCTCATTACAGCAACCAGAGGAGTCTACGAACGGGTTGTGCATGAAAGATCATACAACATTCAGTTAGATCGCAAACTCCTTAACAAATACTTACGATCAGGTTCAGTGACATCGTAATCGTTCTGCTTAGCCCCGCCACCTTAGATTGGAGAATTGGCAAACCTCATGTGAATCAAGATTGATGGCCGATAACTCATGTAGATTATTTCATCATCATCACTTCACTGCACTGCAGTTAGTGTCTTCTTTTTGTTTCCTATATAAGCTGAACACTGAACAGTATTATAGACTAAGTATACCATAGCGTGGTCCTTTTAGGACAGTCCTCAACAAAAGCAAATTTGTAATTTTCAACAAATACGATGAATTCTATAAAATAGGACGAGTAACTGGTACATTGAAATAATCAATTACCTACTTACTGTCTCTCTTAAATAATTAAGTAAATTAAGAGGAGTCAAGTACACGGAGTGCATTATCAAGTGCTGTGGTACGAAATCCCTGCTGACGCAGAGTCGAAATATCCACTTAGTGTCTAGGTCTTTGAACTTTGCTCTGCAAAAGCAAATTCATTGAATAAATATATTTCAAATCTATACCAGAATTCTTGCAAAACATTTCTCAAGGGTAAGGTCGGGTATTCCAGGCATGGTGACGTTTCTGAAAAGCTAGATGAATTCAAATTAATGATTACATAAGAGATTCTTTAGGCATGTATGTTGTCTACGAGATGATATGATCATTTTTTTTACAACAATTTGTGCATGAGATTTCTGATTCTTGCTTTTGCAAACAAGAATCAGAATCATGCACAAAGTGTTTTCTTGTCACTTGGGCAGTGCATATTATGGTAATGCACAACACATTTCCAGAATTGTTTTACAAGCACAATTGTTGGGTTCAAAAATTGGTGCTCAATCTAGGGGATATTTATGTTCGGACCTACACTGCTCCTATAGAGTAGCCTCTCTCCTAGCTCTTGTAATCTCTTTACTTGAATGCACTTGGAGGTGACATCTTCATCATTGTGCCACACTCCTCCGCTCCTCCCGTTGGGCAGCGCGGGAAGCCGACAAGAACGCGATTCTGGTTACTTTCCACGACTAGATTCGATTCAAAAATTGACTGAGACGCGATTGTGGATGCTCTGGATTCACGTCTGGATTCGACTTCCGACGAGACTACTGGAACGCACTCCTAGATGCTCTCACATAATGGCATCGATTACTGGGATGCGACCGGCGATTCCTCTCTCAGATTGGCCTGAACCGCGATTCCGAACGGGCGAACCGGCGAGCGGCTAGGAATGCCCGTGGCCGGTGGATCGTCGATCATCATTGTGCCTCAATCTAGATCTCAGTCAAGGGTTTCAATATGTATCATTTGAATTATCTTGACTTCAGGAAAAAATGTTGATTTTGATCAAAGATTGAATTTTTTTCCAAATACAACGTTGGATATCATTACTTATCAAGACATTTCAATCCTATGATATGATGTTAATTAATTGGAAATGACAACTGAAAATATACATTTGAATTAGCAGTATTCAAAGTAGTCAAATATATTATAAAATTATTATTGAAATTACAAATATTCTACAATGTACGTAATAATGTATAAATGAAGATTATATAAATTATTTCATAGATTTTTCCTCTCGTAAAAGGAAAAATATGAATTTTCCTGTATTAAAAAATTGATAATAATTCTATTCTATAATAATTAATGATACGCTTTATTAATAAGTAATGTATATTTTTTTAAATAACATTTCATACTAATAATAAGATTTTCAGTTTTTTTATTGATAATTTTTTTAAAAAAATGAACAAAAACTTTTTACAGTTCTATCCAATCATTTACTCATTAGTTTAATTATTCAAAGATTGTCATTCACAACAAGTAAACTTTCTTAAGTCCTGATTTCAACTTCAAAACTTTAAAAATATTTGTTCAATTTTTTCATTTCTAGATATATTGACATTTTTGAAATTTAGATGTGTGTTATGCATTTAAGCATCTTATCTCATTGAAAAATCTTATGATATGTACCTTTACCCACCTTGTAATATTCAGCTTCATCTGTGCTACAATTTGAATATCTACATGTAAAATATTATATAGTTCATTCATATTACAAAACAAATGTGGATTTTTATTTACAAGATGATAGTTCTTATTTGAATAAGAATGTATTTTTTTCAGAACATGATAGTATGCATAATTTGAAATTTTGCAATGTTGATTCTCCAATTACTACTCAAACGTCTACAAATTTTATAGTCAGTAAAACTAGATACATATCAAATTATGTTCATGTCACCTTCAATTTCATTTTCTTACATGATTTTACTAATCTTCATAAATATTCCATTGAATCTATCATTAAAACTTTATTGAAAAAAACTTTTATTTTAGAACAAAAAAAATTCTGAACTTGATGTATATATGATATACACTTTAACTATGGTTATACAAGATAAAACCATTATATTTAAGTTCCATATGTGATGAGTTTCGGCTTTGTCTCACTTGATAGTAGATACTTTTATTATATTGAAACATTGACTCTTTTTAAACTAAATAAAATTTAGACGTTAGTTGTACTATTTTTTCCATGCATGTCAACAAGTAAGAGATTTAACGAATACTTGTTTCAAGTTTCAGCGTCTAAGATTGTCTAACGTACTGTGTATCTCGTTTTAACTTTCAAAGTCTAACATTTCCTTCCGTCCTGTAAAACGTATGGCGTAACGTGTATGTCCAACGTTTCCTACCGTAATGTAAAATGTATGGCGTAACGTGCATGTACAGATTGTATAAAGTGATCAGGAATGAATGAAGTTGTCCACAATGTGCTTTCGTTGTTGCTGCTATCATTGTTGTGAGGCTGTCACTTAATTTCTTCATTGTATGTTCTCCTTAAGTTTCAATCGTTCTTCAGTTGTTGTCACATTGTTGGATTCAGTTTCACAGGTGAGATCGTGGAGTTAAGTTTCAAGGTGCTTTCGAACATTCTAGCCAAAAGTATTGTACGTGTTACAAATGTTGTACATAATCTGCTGTCGTTGTCAGGTTGTCGATGAATTTGTAATGCACATGTTACAAATGTTGTACATAATCTGCTGTCATTGTAAGGTTGTCAATGAATTACTACATGTTCCTCATGAGTTTCAATAGTTAGTTCTCACATCGTTTGATTTGGTTTCACAGGTGAGTTCGTGTAGTCAAGTTCCAAGGTGCTTTGAATTATTCTAGCCAAGAGTACTGCACAGGTTACAATGGTTCTCAAGGATTCTTCAAAGAAAAACCTTGGTGGCCATCTGTACATGAAGACCAGACAGTTTCTCAAAGGACTGAAAACAAATAAACGATCTGCTTCAAGGAATTTACCAGATGCAGAGTTTTCTTCTACATCGACCGAGTTCATGAAGATTGATGAGGGAGAACCAGGGTACTATCCTGAAATTTCTTCCTGTGCAGATGTTGGTAACACCAGCTTTAGGCACTGGGTGGATAACTCTGATTCAAATCTTTCTCATGGTGAGGATGGAATGGAAACGTCAGATATTGTGCCAATTGATGATATGACTTCTCAACCTCAATCTTACGAAAGCCAAGATTGGCTTCCAACATTTGAAAGCAGACATTATCAGCTTGCAGGTGCTACTTGTATAGATAATGATCAATCTTTGGTTGCACAAGAAAGTGCAGAAGAAAGTGTGGATTATGATGCATCAGCAATCAATATTCCTTATCTTGATTGCCGAAGACCTTCACAAATGGATGGTTATCGAATTACTGTGACCAAGGAGGTGAAGGAGGAAAGAATATTCTGGTTTTGGAAGAGGTTCTCCTTCATGGATGCGATAAGTGCATGGCGTAATGGCTAAGGTTCAAGCGATGAAATTCGGAAAGACGAAGAAATCGACAAAATACCTAATCCCGGCCCTGGAACGCCGATCGGCCGGACGCCCGCATCGCACGGCGTCCCTGTGTCGACTAACTCCCGGAATGGCTAGAAGAGTTTTTGTGAAAGATTCTTGACAGGAGCTGGAATATGATGCATTGGTAGAACTTGATAGTTGAAGACTATCCTTATCACTGGAAAGAACATGCTGTATTTTTTCAGATTACTTTTTAACTGGAGTTTTATCTTCAAAGGTTTCTATCAGTGGCTAAAACTTGTTGTTCTTCTCTTCAGTCCATGCTATTGACTACAAAAGTTAGCGTGAGCAATACAGGTCGATGACGAGGGAGCAAGTCCCTGCACAGCTGATGAGATTCATGAAGGACATAAACATTTCGATATAGGATGACATTATCCAGTTCAAATTTTGTTCCAGCATGTGAAATTCCTATGCTTGAAAGCTATTCGGTTGTTGTCTTTGGGAACATAGCAACAAAGAAAGGGACGTTAGATTCTGTTGAATGCTCAACAACTGATCATTGGTTGGCTTTCGCTGGATGTCAGTGCCGACTTGGTGCTCAAACATTTCAAAAATTTACGCAGAAGTTTGTCGTTGTTTCAGTTGTCATCTACAAACAGAAAGCAGTGAGAAGGTAGCCACTCTCCAAAATTGGCTTGCGTTATAATGTTACGTAACGTGAACATATAACTGTACGTTCATATCAGTTATCTAGCAAGATAATTGTTTTTAGCTGCAAAAGGAAACATTTTATTAATGCATCTGATCTTCATTCAGCAGACTTAGTCCAATTTATTTTCAAATGTTGCTCAACTATAAACTGCGTAATGTAACCCCTGTGATTCCAGATAAGAAACCTTTACTTCGAGATTGTTTTTACGAGCTTGGTTGTTACACCAAGTCACATTTTAAGAACGTGTTTCAGCTTGGTTGCTCTGCGGAAAGATTCCGGACTGGTATTAACCTGCCCGTGAATGTCTTTTCTAAACTGAGCTCTCGCTTAGTGCAGAATGATATGCAAGGAGATTCCTGATGTTTGGCAATTTGCAAACCTAGGTAATCGAATCCTTTTTCGTCTTCTTCAAGATGCTGTTCCGAATTCACTATCGATCTTGAGAGGCTCTAGGCCGAGCTTGGGTACATGCCTGTGACAAGCAGCATCATTGGAGATGATATACCTCATACTTTGATATTGCTTTCAGTTTTGAAGATAACTACCTATTCCTTAATGAACTGTATTGGAGATGATATTCCTCATACTTTGTTATTGCTTTAAGTTTTGAAGATAACTACCTATTCCTAAATGAACTGTATAGAATTTTTCTTCAACCTCAAAGCATGAATTGGGTCCTCAAGTGTCGTAAGTTGTAGCTACAGCTGCCAGCTGAAACCTAGAGTAAGGAAGAAGAAGAGGACATCAAGACCAGAAAAAAATTAATTCAAAATAGTTGATTTTGCCAGTATATCGTAAAGTAGGAGTATGTATTGAACTTCAAAGTCGAATTGATGTCAAACTTGAACAAAAGTTTATCTTCTGCATTCAGTTGATAGTCTAGATAAATTATATACCGTCATGCACTAAGTCCCTTTCTTTCATGCATATAATATGCTATACGGTGTACGCCTTATTGACCTTCTATCCTCACCAGATCTGCTTCACTGGAATATTGTGCCACACAAAAGCTGGTTGGCAAGTTCTGTGTGTCAATAAGACCGCATTAGTTCACAAGAGGCAGCACAGAAATGTATGAATGATGTAAGGAAAATATCATGACCCTTGAGTCATGCTGGCAAGCCTCTTGGGTACATCATGTAATACTCATTACCTAGATTTTTTTGTTCCGCTTTGCTTGATAAACGTTTTTTTGGCCTACTTCGACCTCTTAATGTAATATATATACACCAAGTATGTTATAAAATGAAATGAAAGCTTATTTTCATCTAGATAGTCATCCAGAGAAGTAGAATCAACGTGAGCGAGCGCTTGTCGGAGTTTCGTGAACCGCAAAATCGACCACGTTCCAGAGCTATACTGTGGTGGTTCAGAGCCTCGTCGCACAGGCCATAACAACACTAATGCCAATTTGTGAACATCTTCAGGACTCCATCTACGAGTCCTCGAGATGTTCTTAAATAGATGGAGGGAAGGCCAGTTGGATACCTTACTCTGATCCCTTAGCTAAGACAAGATTGCGTTCAGCTGAGCTGCCAATATACTTCGATTCAAAGCATTATACATTTCAGCTGCACCATGAAGATCCCAACAACGATCTTACAATCAATATCGCGCAAGCAGCACACTCATGGAAAACTGTATTACCACAAAACACCAGTCAATTGTCTCAAAATCTCAATTTATTGAGGAAGGACACATTGGGTCCAACTAATCTAAATAGCATCTGGAGAAACACCACTTTCTACAAATCTAGTTCTTTTATCCATAAAGGACTTGGTATGTAGACATCCAAGAGAAACGATCCTGTTCTCTGACACATAATTTTGGAAAGTGCTCTTGTAATCAATCTGAGTGCTTGCCACCATGTTTCTCCTTGTTCTCATTGTGGATAGCTTCCATGATTGTAACCACGGCAGCGACAAATGCCTGATCAACGTTGGGACTGACAAGGACTCCATAGTTGCTTTTCCCGGTAATCATAGAGGTCAGAGAGAAATGCTTCTTGGCAACCTGCAGCAGATACACACATATCATCTTCCATAGAAATTCTTGAATGGCAAAACTAGTACATCTGACATCACGAGTTAATACATGTTCCATCTCAAGTTGCAATAGACTTTGAACGAGCAGCCCTTCAAGGGATAATAAGAGTGTCATTTCGCTTCTTACATTTAAACTGCTGAATTACATACCTCGGCGGCAATTGATGCTCCTTTGAAAATGATTTCATAGTTGCGGCGAACAAAGTCACCCTTCACTTGGAAGGTAAGTTCTGAATCAGCTTCGAGTTGAATTTCGTATGTCAATTCTGCCGCGTCCCTCATGTTTTTGTCCCAAACAGTGAACAGTTCTGTCCAACTCTCTCCTTTGTACATACAGGTGGAATTTTCAAGGTGAAATACAGGTGAAATACAGGTGGAATTTTCAAGGTCTCGCTGTAACTTCGGAAGATGAGCTAGACTCAGAATATAAAAAGCTTGAGCAGTTTGGAGGCTTGTAACCTTAATTCTTCCTTACATAGGTCATTCCATGGTTTCCATGGAATGACCAAAACAATGTAACAGTTGCAGTTCACGAATGTATTTGCATGCTGATAATTTTATAAGGACGTAATTGCTACGAAAATTTCTTCTGTCCCATCTTCATTCAAAAATTGAAGAAAAACTTGAGGACCATCTTGTCTCTTCGTTGCTTCTGCGGACCTTCTCCTCTTGTTCTGAAGATAGAAATTTGGACTGTGACACAAACATTGATTCGTCGAACAATGAAACTTGTTGTTGGCAAGAATCTGGCTGTACAGAGCAGCCAACAGTGAATGCATGCTCAATCTTGACTCCTACTAGTGTTAGTGTCATAGCTCTATTTCAAAGATGATGCCTGGATGCAAGCAGGAAGATGACACTCTGTTATACGAGGTAGATCTACTCGCCCGTAGGAAAATTCTCAGAGCTGATAGGGTTTATCAACAGTTATCATAGTAAAGATAATTTACAAGGACTACGTCAGGCTTATGCCATGAGTTGTTATTTGCCATGTGTCGTGGCTGAAAAGGATTTGATTATGGTACACGCATTTTTAGTTACGAACTCAAAATCACCATAGAAACTAAACACCAAATATTTTAACAAAATTAGTTGACAAAGCGGCCATCACAACTAAGAACCGCCGATGTTGTGGATTTTGAAAATGGAGTCACTGCTGATGAAATGAACAGCGGCTGGAAGATCATATTTGGCTAGATCATTCCATCTCCGGTTCCAATACTCGTGCACACATGCATGCAAAGCCCTGGAAATTGGCGATTTAGGGCATATATTTCGGAAGAATCCTGTTGATGTTGCCTACATTTGTACGTGAACACGATCAAACTTGGATTACCTGGAGGTGAGTTATTTCCATAGGCTCTCTCATGTACCCTAAATTGCCCTCTTTCCAAGGGTTGTGGCCTCAGCAGTCCTTAGGATCGGAAAGTGTTCATCCTTTGAATACTTTTTCAAGAGCATGGGATTCTTCAGTATCTGCCGAAGTAGATTTCTACGCTCACGCCCGCAGAGCTGCATGAGGAAAGGTCTGGAGGTAATTCCATGCGGTTTCTAACAATAAAATATATTCTCGGGTTAAATTTCACGATCATGTTGAGCGTCCTTGTTGCAATATACCATATGTTTTGTCTATGTAGTACCAACTTGTAAACATTATCTGTTGTCTCCTGTATTTCATACATGCAAACCAGGTCACTGTCCTTAAAATATCCTGACAGCAAGACCTCGAAGACCGGATAGCTCAGTTACCTCTAGGAACTAGATGATGTCCTGGACTCCTGCATTTTTCAAACAAAATGACACACACCAACCTAGCTTGATTTTGAATAAGCAATTCAAAGAGCTTTTTTTTAGAACACAAAGAAAAAGTCAATATGAACTAGAGAAGGTTTATTAATGTCAGGGGTGAACTAAACACTGCAGCTTCCCACTGATGTACATGAAGACAATGTAACCGAAGCCTTAACAGTTTAACACACCGCAAAGCGAACAGATACTTGGAAATATCCCTTCTTATTGAATAGTATATCTTACACTTTGAAAAGATTCAAAATATAAATAAACGACTGCAATCAGTTAATACAAAAATGTATATAAACAAGAGCGGATGACGATAGGACAGATTTTATGACGGAAGGGCTCTTGCACGATATGTACTTTTCTTCATATTGTCTGCACATTCAACGTCTTCTCAGACAGTGGTGGAAATCAACTGGCCAGGAACACACACTCCATGCTTGGCAGCCTCCAGAGTCGGCGGCTCGTTATAAGGTCTCTGCGACTTCAGTGCTCCAACTGTTGCTATATCTTGATTGAACGCTATAGCAGCTGCACGCTCAGGTAATTGCAAAACCGCTCCAGCAGCATCCTGAAGGAAAAGAAAATTGTTACTAACTGTTGATACGAATGTCTCATTCTATTGTTGGACATCATGTAGAATATCTGGGTCTGTAGAGCTACATCGACCTTATTCCTATTTTTGTAATGCATTACTCTCTTCAAATCACATATGAAATTGAAAATACTTCATAAATTTGAAGTTTTTAATATAGAAGGAGACTTACCAAAGTGCCTGGATTTTGGCTATTCAGAGCCGAAAGGTAGAAAGCTGTTTCTGTACCAACATTCAACTCAAAATGTAACAAACCGCGAGGAAAGACGATGAGATCTCCCGGGTACAGAATGTGGATATGAGCTTGTCCTGCAGTCAAATGGTCAAGACGTAAAATTTCAGGGAAGGGATTCACATATAAATTTTAGTCCTAGGCAAATTCCAATGATGATTTGCATCAAGTTGAAAACATTATAACCTTTGGTGTCAACGAAACCAGCCTGAAGTGGACCACCACTGATCAAGGAAAGGAGCTCTGTAGCACGGGGGTGGGTGTGTGGTACGTTCTCTCCACACGGGACCATCTTGAACTGAACAACGGTCAGACCCTGGGACCTGCAAATGCCAGAAAGAAAAAAGATAAAACTCATTTAGTCAACCAAAGAATATCCCTTCGATATAAGACATGTCTTTTGTGCATCTGATTTATAACCCAGCAAAAAAGAAATGTGTCGCTGAATTCGACGTACGTAAGGCCAGGGAACTTTCCGATGTCGAGAGCTGCTCGAACGCCTCCAGATCCAATAGATACATCTCCATTGGCAAAGATGTTGCGGAAGACAGGTGTAGTTGCGTTTGCTGAAAAGTCGACCAGAGGATCGGGATCGGCAGCCTCGACTCTCTGTACCAGCACCAGGCATGTGCTGTAAATGAAAAGAAGCATAACCATGCCATGCACCATCTTGGACTTGCAATCACCCTTCGAGAAGTTCATGATCGTCGTCTGTATTCAAATTTTGGTGTGAAGACGAACACACTCGATAAAGTAGTTCGCCAGGATCTGTGACGAAAACCGATACAAGGGAAGGGAGATCTTCCTGAGCCTGCTGGAGAGGTGATTTCAGCTTGCCTTTATACACCTGAATGAGTTTGGTCGCCTAGAATTCATTAGAAAAAATGTCGTAAATTATGTATCTGGATGCTATTTGATCGGAATGCTCTCACGCTTAGCTTGTGAATTGCTAGGTTGTTGTTTTTCATGTATGGGTTTAACTATTTCTTAAACATTATCGAGTCTTTCAATTAATTTGATATCAGATTTCAAGCTTTCATCTGTTCTTTGGTGAATGTTATGTGAGGTCATCTTCAGGCCACGACAGTGAGAGTAGGGTCAGTTTGATCAAATGGTCTTGTGCAGCCACACTGTTCAAATATATAATCATGCACATGTTTATTTATTTTCAGCCTAACCCGTTGTATTTGAGATCGGAGATGAGCCTCTCTAGTTGTGATCATTCTTGCGAGGGAAATTTGAAGAATATCAATTGCTTTCAACGAAACCGATTGACTGAGTTCGCTGCGATTCTCGAATATGTTCCATTCCTTTTTTTTCACTACAGTGTGGGAAGTCTAACTAAACGTATTTGGATGACAAAAACCTTTGCTGTAGCCTAAAGACAGCGAGTGTGCAACAAATCACACAAATGATCAGCAGCGAGGTGTAAATGGAGTCTAGGAATAATACAAGAGGCAATAGAAACATGCACAGACTAGTTAGCCAGGTTCTCATGATCGTGTGATTTCGAGATCTACAACTGCTACCAAGATTAATGTGTACAATTCAGCAGATGTGTGTGTAATTTCTAGGAATGATCAGCCAATAGCTATGAATATGTACCGTACAGATCACAATCTGTTGAACATGAGTTCGAAAGATAGCGAATTAAGAGTCAAGGCTGAACCGAAGCTTAAGCTACCTTTATTGATCTACAGGTTATAAGTTATTTCAACAACCGAGCTATCAGATAAGGGAGCACTTTCAAATGCATTCTAACTTTCTTGAAACTACTGATCAGCCTTGCCAAGGTCTAGCTGTGACACGATCTAGACCCAATTTGGTGGAAGAGCTTATCAATGGAACGCTTGTCTAGGCCCAAATCTTTGCGAAGAAACTCCTGGGGGATGGAGAATGCACTTCGTCCGTAGCTCCGAGTGAAGGTTTGTACAAACATAAACTGAAATTGCCTTATACGACTTTGATTTTCGTGCAAGACATCCTGTGCACCTCCAAATTCGACATAGGTTGCTTAGTATGATAACCCCTCTGTATAATTTTGCATCGACGGATATTTTAGTGTCTTGTTCAGATTCCAACACTTTCACTTCAAGAAATAGTCAAAACATTTTTTCCTCATCGAACCATCAACTTGATACTTGTTGAGTCAGGAGGCGTGAAACAGTGGATGACGCGCCAACTGTAGAGAGAGATTCAAGGTATTTGAAAGTATTGTTGTGCACATTGTCATGCAGACTTCTATCATCGTATCCATGTGAACATGTAGAGTAAAGAAATGCATGAAACATATAGAGAATAGTAGCAGGTTATAAAAAAACTTATCCATACATGCACAGCGATCTGATCTCTCTAACAAGAATTAGCACAACGCGACAGTCTCATCTGCGAACATATATACAAATGATCTGGGCTGAACATGAAAACAATGTGGATGATCACAAGATATGTACAAGAAGATAGGGCTTTCACTTACCCTTCTTCCACTATCATGGCCTGAAGGAGACCTCCCATGACATCTAGACAAGAGAAGATAGATTCCTTTCAATTCTCATAAAGAATTATAATGGGAACAGCCCTGCAGTTGATAATGTTCGAGTATGGAGCGTTCCCAGACATGATTAATTGTAACGCACCGGTTCACAAGCAAAGCGTGAAAGCATTTCAGGAATTTAGATTCCAGATACATAATTTACGAAATTTCTAAGCATCGAATTTAAGATGACTCACCTCAATCAGGTGTATAAAGCCAACTCAAAACCATTATCCAGCAGGCTCAGGAAGATCTTCCAACTCTTGGATCAGTTCTCTGCATAGACCCTGACTTCCTAGAACATCCTCTGTTTTCATTTTTCACACGTGAAGTTCAATACAAGCGACGATGAAGAACTTCTCGAAGGAGGATTGCAAGTCCAAGATGGTGCATTGCATGGTCAAGCTTGTTTTCATTTACAGCACATGCCTGGTGCTGGTACAGAGAGTCGAGGCTGCCGATCCCGATCCTCTGGTCGACTTTTCAGCAAACGCAACTACACCAGTCTTCCGCAACATCTTTGCCAATGGAGATGTAACGACTGGATCTGGAGGAGTTCGAGCAGCTCTCGACATCGGAAAATTCCCCGCCCTTACGTACAAAATTTCCAACCAAAATTCTCTTTCTTACTGTGTTATAAAACAAATACACAATTAACATGTTTTTTTGTCGTAAAGATTGTCTTTGTTTGAGTACGCATGAATTGATCTTTTAATTTTCCGAACATTTGCAGGTCCGAAGGTCTGACCGTTGTTCAGTTCAAGATGGTACCGTGCGGAGAGAACGTGCCACACACCCACCCGCGTGCCACAGAGCTCCTTTCCTTGATCAGTGGAGGTCCCCTCCAAGCTGGTTTCGTTGATACAAAAGGTTCTGATGTTTTATCCATGATTCACATCATCATTACATCTCGGATGGGACTAATATACAGAATAGGGAAACTCCTGTTAGTTCATTCCTTAATTATTAATATTTCGATCATTTGAATGCAGGGGAAACTCATATAAACATTCTGTACCCAGGAGATCTCATTGTCTTTCCTCGCGGTTTGCTACATTTTGAAATAAATGTAGGTACAGAAATAGCTTTCTACATTTCTGCTCTGAACAGCCAAAATCCAGGCACTTTGGTAAGTCTCATTCCATTCCATTTTGCCGTTCAATTTCAATTATTATCTGAAGACATCATTCTATTAGAGGAATAGGAGAGACTGTAGCGTCCATATATATTGTATTGTCTCCAAAAATACAACTACACATTATTATCGATGGTTCTAACTACGTGGTCCTACTTCAGGATGCTGCTGGAGCGGTTTTGCAATTGCCGGAGCGTGCAGCTGCTATAGCTCTCAATATTGACATTGCAGCGGTTAGAGCCCTGAAATCACAGAGACCTTACAACGAGCCCCCGACTCTGGAGGCTGCCAAGCCAGGAGTATGTGTGCCCGGCCAGTTGATTACCACCACCGTCTGACAAGATGTAGAGTGAATGGGCAGTACGATACAGAGGCCGTCACCTCTTTAGAGCTGAGATCTTATAAAACCTTAAGCTATGTTTGTGCAATAAGCATATCTTATTTCATATATAGGTAACTTTTAAGTATTTGTTTAATCTGAAGTGTGTTGAGGCTTGAGTTATATTGTCTTCATATACATTCCTGAGAAGCTGCAACTTGTTCTTTAAAGCTATTCATAACAGTAACATGGGCAGCAACTTTCTGACGACAACTTCGAACTTAATTCTTGTAAATCCACATCCTCAATTCTGCATTCAACAACCATAAATATCGAACTGAGGATACTTTATTAGTAGGTATATGCAACTATTTCCACTACGATCACATGAGCACGTTAAACCGTCGGTCTGATACAAGAGATATTGTTCAGCAAAATGTGATTTGACAAACGTTCCCAGAAACTAACTAATAGTCACTGTCCAACTGATAGATGGACAGTCACAAATCTAAAGCTTGACTGTCAATATCAAGAGCTTTTGCTAGCTGAACCTGAAGAAGAAAGATAATTTGCAGAATTCAGTACACTCGGCTCATCTGCAGGATCACATCGATAGTGATATAAAGGTCTGCAGGATACTGATTACAAGAGTAGTAAAGTATGTTCAAGGACAGATTTAGTTGTAGAGGCTTCCCTGCAGCTGAGAGTCATGTGTGAGTTTGTATTCTGTTACTTGTGTAATGCCTATGATAGGAAAACAATGACACAAGAATTGTGATCTATGGATGTAACACATTTAGCGGGGAATTCTGACCGAGATTCTTGCTGGTAAAAGTGTGAGGGTGCAAGAAAAGGCCGGTAACTCTCACTCCTATGCATATTGCACCTTTATTTATTGGACCCTGCCTTGATCATACCATGGTGATGAATTAATAGGCAGAAGACGACACTATCCTGATTTCAGCTAACGTAAACCTCGTGTTGAAGGTGAAACAAACCAATCAAAAATTAATATATCTTAATTATGACTGTCGTGTACAGTTTCAAACATCCAAAATTTGAAACTGTAGAAATGTTGAAACAACCCAAAATATTAATCCATCTTCAAATTGGTTTGGATAGAACGTAATCTTTACTTTTATAACGAGCCAATTAACCTCGCAAGTATTTTGAGAACAAACGATGAATTTTAACAATAATGTATATAACATTGAGATCTTTTTTGTGAAAACAATATCAATGTAAAAGCAGTTTATAAGACTATTCAGATAAGCAAGCAAACTATACAGTTGACGTGAGATATTTATGGAAGTGGTCTGAAAAGATAAATTTCAACTAAATAAGTGCTCGTACGAAACGTTACCATGAATATGGCCATCATGCAGAGCATCCCGCTATCCTTTAGGGGAAATCCCAAGGGTATTGTAGTAACAAGTGCCGGTCTTCAGATGTAACGAAGAGCAAATGTGGCTCCTCAAGCTTTATCTTGAATTAATCAATGGAGATGGGACAGGAGAAGTATTCAAAGCATACAGTGTTTTATTGTTTCGGAAAACAAAGAAGCACCTACGTCAGAGAGAATTAATGTAACATACTTCAAACTGGTGAAGCTTGTTTGATGTTAATCTAGCTGACCTTACAATATTATCGCGAGACCGTGAAGGATTCCTCTTGTAATTTACCATCTCAGCCATTGAAGCTCCTCTATAAACAACTTCCACAGTGCTAAAGGTCGACGGTTTGAATCTCGCTGAACATCAGGCTCCTCAGAGTGGATACGTCGCCAGTACCTTCCCAAGTACAAATAGACCCTGCTGTTAGATCACTCTCAGCACAGATTTGGCTCAATCTCATTATCGCAAGTCAGCATAGCAACATTGCCAGGCCAGCTCCTGCATATTTGTTCTCTTCTCTGCACGCTGTAAGTAACCTGGAATGCAGCCTTGCTATTGCAGTCCTCCTCATTGTTTTATTTATCGTCGCACATCTCTCCCTCAAATCGGAATAGTTGGAATTGTTACCCAGGTCGAATCCACAGCTAGACGATTAGTTTGGTCAGCAGTTCCGGACTCATTTTGTTGATTGATTTGTCACCTTCTAGAAATTTGTTCTATAAGAAATGCATGATTCAGTTGTTTTATCTTGAGATTTTTGGAGTTCAAACGTGTGGAGGTAAGCTGGATCTCTAACTTAAAACTTGTACCATGGAATTGAAGCATTCCTTGAAAGTCCAAGTTGTACATGTATCTTGTTCTCCATTAAAATATTGAGCCTGCTCACCTACATACTCCCACGTGAGATTTGACGATCTGAGGATCTCTTCACTGCAGATTTGAAAAATGGCATTTACAGTTATTGATGAGGCCCAGTACTGCTCGCCCTAGAGGTGAAACTCACAGTTGCCAAGAAGGTATTGGAATGCAACAATGGTAACTTTGTCATCACTGATTCTGAGGGTCACACCCTTTTCAAGCTGGATCAGAAGAAGGTCTTCCTACGAGAACTGGCGGTTTTGCGCGATGATGGTGACTCTCCTGTGGTCAGCATTCACAAAAAGGTCAGTTCTATAGGATATCGTGTAGGAGATCTTCTAAGCTGTCGAGCCAAAAAGCAGATATGATACCCTTGAGAGGGATTATGTTGAAAAATTTGTCGATTCGGGTTCAGGAATGTTCTGGTTGCAGCCAGTAATTTGAAGTTAGTACTCTCGTTTCCCCACCAGAAAAACATTTAAATTTGGCCGATCCGTTTTGGATGAGATCCTCCTTTTCCGTGATGAAATTTATTTGTGATTGCCCAACCTCCTGAACGGAATGTTGGCAGTTAAGATTTAATAGTGGAATCGTGGAACATTCAAAATCAGAGAGCCCCATGATTCACTGTCTGCGCGGTTACCATATATATACCAGCTACACAATAACCACAGGGATGTAAATTCATGATCTGTGAATGCTTTTCTGCGCCCAGAAAATCTCTCTGCACAACACGTACCCAGTTTACAAAGGAGAGAGTTCGGAAGAACTCTTCACTGTTTGGGACAAAAACATGAGGGACGCCGCAGAATTGACATACGAGATTCAACTCGAGTCTGAATCAGAACCTACCTTCCAAGTGAAGGGTGACTTTGTTCCTCGCAACTATCAAATCAATTTCAAAGAATCGTCGATTGCGGCGGAGGTGTGTACTTCAGCAGTTCAAAAATAATAGTCACCATGAGATTTATAATCCTTTGAAGGTTTAGTCAATCAGCGTCCACAGAGATTTGAGATAGAACATGTATCTAGTCAGGACTTCATATGAACTAGTTTCATAATTGACTACATGGAAAATGATCTGCGAATTTTTAATGCAGGTTGCGATGAAGCATTTCTCCCTGACCTCTATGATTACGGGCAGAAGCAATTATGGAGTGCTTGTTAGTCCCGACGTTGATCAGGCGTTTGTGGCCGCTGTGGTTACAATCATGGAAGCTATCCACAATGAGAACTAGGAGAAACATGGTCGCAAGCACTCAGACTGATTAGAGGAGCATTTTTCCAAGTCTTTTGTCAGAGAACAGGATCGTTTTTCTCGGATATCTACAAACCAAGTCCATTGTGCATAGAGAAAACTTGTTCTGCAAAAAATGATGTTTCTCCAAATGGGAAAAGCAGATTATGCTGACCATTGGGCTCTTTGCTCATTTCGAAGGATTGAATAAACTGAAATTTTGAGAAGTTTGAGCAATTTTTTGTGGAAGTACAGTGACCTGTGAGTATGCCCGATTGTGTGTTCAAGGGCCGGTGTTGATTGTAAGATCGTTGTAGAGATATTCATCTCGGATGTGAAATCTCTTATGGTTTGAATTTTAAGCTTTAAATGAATTTTTAGTGAAGCTCGTGGGTAGGCATGTCTTCAGCTTCTAGATGGGAAGCAACCTGGTCCCGGTACAGATCGATCGGGAAGAAATTTGAGACAGCCGTAGTTAGCGTCTTGACATTGCTGGTGGGAAAATTGATTCCTTGCTGTCAATATACATCTGTAGCAGCAACCTTCATCTTTACCTCATCTTCAACTTCAACCTCAGTTGTCAGTGAGCCAGATCTGTTGATTTTGCGGCTCAAACATTCGTTTCCGAATCTTTAACTAATATACAATTCAGAGATTTCGAATCGTCTTCGAGCTTTTTGAAACGCCACTGACATTCAGAACAGATGTTTCAACTATGTTCCAGTATCCTATGAAACTGAATTCTCTTTCTCCATCGACGATGCCCACACAAGCCCCCTGAATTGTAGTAGGCTGCTTCATGAGAAGGGTACTCAACGCCCCGATTCGGATGTGCAGGTCATAACTGAGAGTTCTAAATTTATCGGGGCCGATGCCAAGCAAAGGCAAGGCTTGATTAGACTGGCCAAGAAGAAGGGAGAGAAGCTGGGATTCCTGGCATAGATCAGAATATGTTATGCGAATGTTTAGGAGGGAATCGACTCCGTTCACTGTACAGGCTGAATGCCCATTCTGTCAGACCCGTGCAACGAGACGAGGCCTTCATCTGCTTGTAGCATAGTTCTTCTGATTCTTGCAGTGGAGCCAAGCGTCTCTCTCTGACATTAGGACTATCATTTAATCACTTCTGTCATATATGTAGCTAAGCCTGATAATGCCGGATTATCATTAATCAGCAAGCCACATAGCTTCAGCTGTGAACACATCTCCTGCCAAGTGGCTAGAACCATAAAAATTGAAGATTACGTATCGAATTTTTTGGACGCACCATCCGAAACTTAGTTGATTGCCTTTGCAAACCCTTGATTTCTTGTCACTATCGAGATGTTGCTTGGAGCGTTCGATTCCTCCCATCTGTGTAGACGTGATTTCAGTCATTCGTGACAAATATTGTGAAATGCATCGTTATCTCAAGACTTTGCCGAGATAACGATTTAAGCACTACACACCTTATCAATTAGAAGCTCATAACAGCAACCAAAGGAGTCTACGAACGGGTTGTGCATGAAAGATCATACAACATTCAGTTAGATCGCAAACCACTTAACAAATGCTTACGATCAGGTTCAGTGACATCGTAATCGTTCTGCTTAGCCCCGCCACCTTAGATTGGAGAATTGGCAAACCTCAAATAAGTCAAGTTTGACGACAGACAACTCATGTAGATTATTTCATCATCGTCACTTCACTGCACTGCACCAGTTAGTGTCCTCTTTTTGTTTCGAGATATATAAGGTGAACACTGAACAGTATTATAGACTAAGTATACCATAGCGTGCTCCTTATAGGACAGTCGTCAACAAAAGTAAATTTGTAATTTTCAACAAATACGATGAATTCTATAAAATAGTACGAGTAACTGGTACATTGAAATAATCAATTACCTACTTACTGTCTCTCTTAAATAATTAAGTAAAGTAAGAGGAGTCAAGTACACAGAGTGCATTATCAAGTGCTCTAGTACGAAATCCCTGCTGACGCAGAGTCTAAATATCAACTTGGGCAACTTGGTGTCTAGGTCTTTGAACTTTGCTCTGCAAAAGCAAAGTTCATTGAATTAATATATTTCAAATCTATACCAGAATTCTTGCAAAACATTTCTCAAAGGTAAGGTGAGGTATTCCAGGCATGGTGACGTTTCTGAAAAGCTACATGAATTCAAATTAATGATCTCATAAGAGATTCTTTAGGCATGTATGTTCTCTACGAGAGGATATGATCATTTTTTTTACAACACTTTTTGTATGAGATTTCTGATTCTTGCTTGTGCAAACAAGAATCAGAAATCTCATGCACAAAGTGTTTTCTTGTTACTTGGGCAGTGCATATTATGGTAATGCACAACACATTTCCAGAATTGTTTACCAAGCACAATTGTTGGGTTCAAAAATTGGTGCTCAATCTAGGGCATATTAATGTTTGGACCTACATTGCCCCGATAGAGTAGCCTCTCTCCTAGCTCTTGTAATCTCTTTACTTGAATGCACTTGGAGGTGACATCTTCATCATTGTGCCTCAATCTAGATCTCAATCAAGGGTTTCGATATGTTTCATTTGAATTATCTTGACTTCAGGAAAAAAATGTTAATTTTGATCAATGAATGAATTTTTTTGCAAATAGAATGTTGTATATATATGTACTTTCACTGAGTACAAAATTTGTGAACGTTTGAGTAGTATTTGCAAAATCAACGATGCAAAATTTCAAATTATGCATACTATCATGTTATGAAACAAAGTACATTCTTATTCAAATGGGAACTATCATCTTCTTAATTAAAATCAACTTTTTTTTTGGTAATATGAATGAACTATTTAATATTTTACATAAAAAATTTACGTGTACATAATAATGTTTAAATGAAGATTATATAAATTATTTCATAGATTTTTTCCTCTCATAATACTTAACAGATCAATTTGCCTGTATTACAAAAATTAATGATAATTCTATTCTATAAAAATAAATGAAATACTTTAATACTAAGTAATATATTTTTTAATATAAAATTGCATACTAATAGTAAGATTTTCATTTTGTTATTGATAAATGTTCAAAAAAAAGATATGTTTATTTTTTTGTTTTAGTTTTTTTACATAAATTGAACAAAAACTTCTCACATTTCTATCAGATTATTTCATTGATTTTCATTAGCAACAAATTAACTTTTTTGAGTCCTCATTTCAACTTTACAACTTTAATAAATTTCTGTTCAATTGTTTCATTTCTAAATATATTGACATTTTTAAAATTTTTGATGTGTGTTATACATTTAAGCATCTTATCTGATTGAAAATTCTCATGGTATATACCTTAGCACACCTTGTAATATTAAGCTTCTTCTGTGCTACAATTTGAATATCTTTATGTCAAATATTAGATAGTTCATTCATATCACAAAAAAAATGTTGATTTCAAGTAACAAGATGATAGTTCTCATTTGAACAAGAATGTACTTTGTTTCATAACATTATAGTATGCATAATTTGAAATTTTGCATCGTTGATTTTGCAAATACTACTCAAACGTTCACAAATTTTGTACTCAGTAAAAGTACATACATATCAAATTATATTCATGTCACCTTCAATTTCATTATTTAAATATTGTTACTAATCTTCATAAATATTTCATTGAATCTATCATTAAAACTTTATTCACAAAGCTTTTATTCTAGAACAAAAAAATTCTGAACTTGGTGTATATATGTTATAAACTCTAACTTTAATTATACAAGATTAAACTATTATATGTAAGTTCCACATGTGATGAGTTTCGGCTTTGTGTCACTTGATGGTAGATAGTTCTATTATATTGAAACATTGACTCTTTTTATACTGAATAAAATAAAGAGGTTAGTTGTACTCAAGAGAGAGTATCATTCTTTTCATGCATATCAACTAGTAGGAGTTTAAACGAATACTTGTTTCAAGTTTCAATGTCTAAGATTGTCTAACGTACTGTGTATCTCGTTTTAAATTTCAAACTCTAACATTCACTTCCGCCATGTATAACGTATGGCGTAACGTGTTTGTCTAACGTGTAATACCGTAATGTAAAACTTATGGCGTAACGTGTATGTACAGATTGTATAAAATGATCAGGAATGAATGAGGTTGTCCACAATCTGCTATCGTTGTTGCTGCTATCATTGTTGTGAGGCTGTCTCTTAATTTCTACATTGTATGTTCTTCGTAAGTTTCAATCGTTCTTCAGTTGTCACATTGTTGGATTTGGTTTCACATGTGAGATCGTGTAGTTAATTTTCAATGTGATTTTGAACATTCTAGCCAAAAGTATTGCACATGTTACAAATGTTGTACATAATCTGCTGTCGTTGTCAGGTTGTCGATGAATTTGTACTGCACATGTTACAAATGTTGTACATAATGTTCTGTCGTTGTAAGATTGTCAATGAATTAGTAGTGGTGTGTTCCTCATAAGTTTCAATCGTAAGTTCTCACTTCGTTTCATTTGGTTTCACAGGTGAGTTCGTGTAGTCGAGTTTCAAGGTGCTTTGAATTATTCTAGCCAAAAGTACTGCACAGGGTACAATGGTTCTCAAGGGTTCTTCCAAGACCAACCTTGGTGGCAAACTTTACATGAAGACCAAGCAGTTTCTCAAAGGACTTAAAGCAAATAAAAAATCTCGAGGAAAGTCTTCAAGGAACTTATCAGATGGAGAGTCTTGTTGTACATCGACTGGGTTCATGCAGAATATTGATGGAGAACTGGGATCCTATCCTCAAATGTATGACCGTGGAGATGTGGGTAACACCAGCTTTAGGCACTGGGTTCATAACTCTGATCCAAATCTCTCTTATGGTGAGGATACAATGGATACGTCAGAGGTCGTGCTAGTTGATGATATGACTTCTCAACCTCAGTCTTACGAAAGCCAAGATTGGCTTCTAACATTTGAAAGCAGATATGATAAGTTTGAAGCTGCTACTTCCATAGATTATGATCAAATGATAGAAGAAAGTGCAGAAGATGGTATTGTGAAAAATGATCCATTAGCAATCAATATACCTTATCTTGATTGCAGAAGACCACCAGAAACGGATTCTTATCAAATGACCGTGAACAATGAGGTTAAGGAGGAGAGAAGATTCTGGTTCTGGAAAAGTTTCTCGTTCATGGATGCGTTCAGTGCATGGCGGAATGGCTAGAAGTGATTTTGTCAAAAATTGACAGGAGCTGGAAAGCATTTCTAGAACTTGATAGTTAAATACTATCGTTATCACCGGAAAGCGCATGGTGAATTTTTTCACATTACTTTTTAACTGGAGTTTTATCTTCCTAGAGAGCAAGGTGATGAGCTTCCTACATAGGTTTTTACATCTATAGTCTGCGAAGAATATACGGATCAGGTATCTCTTTAATTTTTAAACATGATTTGTAGGTATAATAGGAAGTACATTGTAAGCATTCGAGATGAAGCTAGAGGGATTTCAGGTACAATGCCATGAGCACTCGAACACATAGTCTACATTTACAATGCAAGACTCTTTGTTCAAGAGTTATAATTATAATCAGCAAGTGCTGGACTCGTTCTATCACAATTCACCTATTGAAATATGCTGAGTCTTCACCTGGTGAAGAGTTTAGCTTGAGCTGATCCTTGACTTTTCAGAGACAGATGCCACTACTAGATAAGAAATCACTTTTGTTGTGTGTGTTTGTCACCTTTCAGCAAAACAACATGTGCATGTGGATGCAGGTCTGCAGAATGCAAGCAGTTTTTTGCTCTCTAGTTGTACCCAGATATCCAGCTAATGAAAACCTTGTCAAGTTTGGATAAAATTTACATATCACTTTCAAGAAGCATAGAGAATATGAAATTACGTGTTTCTTTGAGTCAGCCTCAAATCTACCATCGAGTTACAAATATGACTATCATCTGCGTGATTTGAACCTTCTTATGGCAGTATTGAGGAATAACAGTCTTCATCATGATGTACTCTGGATTTACTTGCTGGTCATGTTCTTCTAGTCTGGTGATGAGTTATCTATATCTTATGATTTTGACCTCAAATTGTGGTTGATATGATCATGATCCTGGATACGTAATGTAATGTCTTTTTATTCCATTCATCTGATTTGATTTATTTTCTAGTAAAAAGACACTGTAACCGTAATGAGGCCTTGATATGCAAAAAGGTTTCTATCAGTGGCTAAGACTTGTTGTTCTTCTCTTCAGTCCATGCTATTGACTACAAAACTTAGCGTGAGCAATACAGGTCGATGGCGAGGGAGCAAGTCCCTGCACAGCTGATGAGATTCATGAATGTCAGAAACATTTCGATATAGGATGACATTAACCAGTTCAATTTTGTTCGAGCATATGAAATTCCTATACTGTCAAGCTATTCGGTAGTTGTCTTTTGGAACATAGCAACTAAGAAAGGGACGTTAGATTCTGTTGAATGCTCAACAACTGATCGTTGGTTGACTTTCTCTGGATGTCAGTGCCGACTTGGAACTAAAACATTTCAAAAATTTACGCAGAAGTTTTCGTTGTTTCAGTTGTCATCTTAAAACAGAAACTTGTGAGAAGGTAGCCACTCTCCAAAATTGGCTTGCGTTAAAATGTTACGTAACGTAAACATAAACATATAACTGTCTGTTCAAATCAATTATCTAGCAAGAGTTAAGTTTTTTAGCTCAAAAAGGAAACATTTTCTCAATGCATCTGAACTTCATTCAGCAGACTTAGTTCAATTTATTTTCAAATGTTGCTCTACTATAAACTGCGTAATGTTACCCCGGTGATTCCAGATAATATCTCCTTACCTCGAGATAGTTTTTACGAGCTTGGTTGTTATCAACAAGTCCGATTTTAAGAACGTGTTTCAGCATTACTTGAATCATGTAAGGAAAAATTCTTGACCCTTGAGTCATGCTGACAAGCCTCTAAGATACATCATGTAATACTCATTTTGTAAATTTTTTGGTCCTCTTGGCCTACTTCAAACTCTTAATCTAAATATATACACCAAGTATGTTATATAATGAAAATAAAGCTAATTTTCATCTAGATCGTCATCCAGAGGAGTAGAATGAATTAACGTGAGCGAGCGCTTGTCGGAGTTTCGTGAACCGCAAAATCGACTACTCTCTACTCTACTGTGGTGGTTCAGAGCCTCGTCCCACGCAATCGCATGCAACAGGATATAACAACACTGTAATGTGGCCAATTTGTGGACATCTTGAGGACTCCATCTTCGAGTCCTCGAGTTGTTCTTCAATAGATGGAGAGAAGACCAGTTGGATACCTTACTCTGATCCCTTAGCTAAGACAAGCCTTGCGTTCAGTGGAGCTGCCAATATACTTGGATTCAAAGCAACATACATTTAAGCTGCACCATGAAGAACCCAACAACAATCTTACAATCAATATCGCGCAAGCAGCACACTCATGGAAAACTGTATTTCCACAAAACACCAGTCCATTGTCTCAAAACTCAATTTATTGAGGAAGGACACATTGAGTCCACCTAATCTAAATGACATCTGGAGAAACACCACTTTCTACAAAACTAGTTCTTTTATCCATAAAGGACTTGGTATGTAGACATCCGAGAGAAACGATCCAGTTCTCTGACAGATAATTTCGGAAAGTGCTCTTGTAATCAATCTGAGTGCTTGCCACCATGTTTCTCCTTGTTCTCATTGTGGATAGCTTCCATGATTGTAACCACGGCAGCGACAAATGCCTGATCAACGTTGGGACTGACAAGGACTCCATAGTTGCTTTTCCCGGTAATCATAGAGGTCAGAGAGAAATGCTTCTTGGCAACCTGCAGCAGATACACACATATCATCTTCCAGAGAAATTAGTGAATGGTAAAACTAGTACATCTGACATCACGAGTTAATACATGTTCCATCTCAAGTTGCAATAGAGTTTGAACGAGCAGCCCTTCAAGGGATAATAAGAGTGTCATTTCGCTTCTTACAATTAAACTGATGAATTACATACCTCGGCGGCAATTGATGCTCCTTTGAAAATGATTTCATAGTTGCGACGAACAAAGTCACCCTTCACTTGGAAGGCAGGTTCTGAATCAGCTTCGAGTTGAATTTCGTATGTCAATTCTGCCGCATCCCTCATGTTTTTGTCCCAAACAGTGAACAGTTCTGTCCAACTCTCTCCTTTGTACACTTGATAAGTGTCGTGAAGGGAAATTTTCTGTGCATAGAGTAAGATACACATATGAAGAATTTTAATTCTTGTGGTATTCTGTCTAGCTAGTATATGTATGAATAAAACGTAGGCAGTGAAGCATAAACCTAAAATTTCCCTACCCACATTTCAAAAGGTTTGTCAGTCACAGAAAGTTGAACTGAAAATTTCAGCCAAATAAATGTCAAGTCAGAAAAAGAAGATTTCATCTGAATCGGAACGGCCCAATTCGAACGTTCTTTCTGGTTGCATGAGTGCTGACATAAGATTTCTGGCTGGGACCACAAACTTGAATCGGAATGGACAAAATTTTCAAACTCTTCCCTCTCAGGAATATCATATCTGCTTTTTGTCTCCACAGCTTAGAAGATGGCCTCCACTATATCTTATAGAACTGACCTTTTTGTGAATGCTGACCACAGGGCAGTCACCATCATCGCGCACAACCGTCAGCTCTCGTAGGAAGACCTTCTTCTGATCCAGCTTGAAAAGGGTGTGACCCTCAGAATCAGTGATGACAAAGTTACCATTGTTGTATTCCAATACCTTCTTGGCAATTGTGAGTTTCATCTCCGAGGGCGAGCAATACTGGGCATCAACAATGACTGGAAATTCCATTTTTCAAATCTGCAGTAGAGATATCATCAGGGCGTCAAATCTCACTTGTGCGTCTGAAGGAAAGTAGGCGCAATATATAGAGAACGAGGTGCGTTTACAACTTGAAGTTTGAAAGAATATATTAGTCACATCGAAAAAGTTTAAATCAGAGATCTAGCTTAGATCCACTAGCTGAGAGTCCACAAAATTTAATACAAAACAACTAATTCATGAATTTATAGTCGAGAAAATTGCAAGAAGGTGACAATGCGATCTAGAAAATGAGAAAGAGACTGCTGACCAAAGTGATCGTCTAGCTATAATTTCAACCTTGGTAACAATAACAAGTATTCCGATTGAGGAAGAGATGTGCTTATGTGACAATAAGGAAGACTACAATAGCAAGGCTGCATTCGAGGTTCCTTACAGCGTACAGAGAAGAGAAGAATTATGCAGAAGGTGGCCTGGTAATGTTGCTCTGATGACTTGCGAAAATGAGACTATGCCAAATCTGTGCTGAAAATGATCCTACAGCATCGTCTACTTGTACTTGGGAAGGTATGGCGACGTATCCACTTTGAGCAGTTTGATATTCAGCGAGATCCAACCTTCCATCTTTAGCGCTGTGGAAGTTGATCGTAGGTGAGCTCGAATGGCTGAGATGGTGAAATACAGGTGGAATTTTCAAGGTCTCGCTGTAATTTCGGAAGATGAGCTAGACTCAGAATATAAAAAGCTTGAGCAGTTTGGAGGCTTGTAACCTTAATTCTTCCTTACATAGGTCATTCCATGGTTTCCAAAACAATGTAACACTTGCAGTCCACGAATGTATTTGCATGCTGATAATTTAATAAGGACGTAATTGCTTCGAAAATTTCTTCTGTCCCATCTTCATTCAAAAATTGAAGAAAAACTTGAGGACCATCTTGTCTCTTCGTTGATTCTGCGGACCTTCTCCTCTTGTTCGGAAGATAGAAATTTGGACTGTGACACAAATATTGATTCGTCGAACAGTGAAACTTGTGTTGGCAAGAATCTGGATGAACAGAGCAACCAACAGTGAATGCATGCTCAATCTCCACTCCTACCAGTGTTAGTGTCATAGCTCCATTTCAAAGATGATGCCTGGATGCAAGCAGGAAGATGACACTCTGTTATACGAGGTAGATCTACTCGCCCATAGGAAAATTCTAGAGCTGATAGGGTTTATAAACGTCATCATAGTAAAGATAATTTACAAGGACTACGTCAGGCTTATGCCATGAGTTGTTATTTGCCATGTGTCGTGGCTGAAAAGGATTTGATTATGGTACACGCAGTTTTAGTTACGAGCTCAAAATCACCATAGAAACTAAACACCAAATATTTTAACAAAATTAGTTGACAAAGCGGCCGTCACAACTAAGAACCGCACATGTTGTGGGTGGAAATAGAGTCACTGCTGATGAAATTAACAGCGGCTGGAAGATCATATTTGGCTGTATCATTCCATGTCCGGTTCCAATACTCGTGCACACATGCATGCAAAGCCCTGGAAATTGGCAATTTAGGGCATATTTTTCGGAAGAATCCTGTTGATGTTGCCTACATCTGAACGTGAACACGATCAAACTTGGACTACCTGGAGGTGAGTTATTTCCATAGGCTCTCTCATGTACTCTAAATTGCCCTCTTTCCAAGGGTTGTGGCCTCAAGCAGTCCTTAGGATCGGAAAGTGTTCATCCTTTGAATACTTTTTCAAGAGCATGGGATTGTTCAGTATCTGCCGAAGTAGATTTCTACGCTCACGCCCGCAGAGCTCCATGAGGAAAGGTCTGGAGGTAATTCCATGCGGTTTCTAGCAATAAAATATATTCTCGCGTTAAATTTCACGATCATGTTGAGCGTCCTTGTGGCAATATACCATATGTTTTGTCTATGTAATACCAACTTGTAAACATTATCTGTTGTCTCCTGTATTTCATACATGCGAACCAAGTCCATGTCCTTGAAATATCCTGACAGCAAGACCTCGAAGACCGGATAGCTCAGTTACCTCTAGGAACTAGATGATGTCCTGGACTCCTGCATTTTTCAAACAAAATGACACTCACCAACCTAGCTTGATTTTGAATGAGCAATTCAAAGAGTTTGTTTTTAAGAACACACAGAAAAAGTCAATATGAACTAGAGAAGGTTTATTAATGTCAGGGGTGAAGAAAACACTGCAGCTTCCCACTGATGTACATGAAGACAATGTAACCGAACCCTTAACGATTTAACACACTGCGAAGTGAAAATGTAATTGGAAATATCCCTTCTTATTGAATAGTATATCTTACACTTTCAAAAGATTTAAAATATAAATAAAAGTCTGCAATCAGTAAATACGAATATGCATATAAATAAGAGTGGATAACGATAGGACAGATTTTATAACGGAAGGGCTCTTGCACTATATGTACTTTTCTTCATATTGTCTGCACATTCAACGTCTTCTCAGACAGTGGTGGAAATCAACTGGCCAGGAACACACACTCCAGGCTTGGCAGCCTCCAGAGTCGGCGGCTCGTTGTAAGGTCTCTGCGACTTCAGGGCTCCAACTGTTGCAATATCTTGATTGAAAGCTATAGCAGCTGCACGCTCAGGTAATTGCAAAACCGCTCCAGCAGCATCCTGAAGGAAAAGAAAATTGTTACTAACTGTTGATAGGAATGTCTCATTCTATTATTAGATATCATGTAGAATATCTGGGTCTGGAGAGCTACATCGACCTTATTCCTACTATTGTATTGCATTACTCTCTTCAAATCACATATGAAATTGAAGATACTTCTTAAATTTAAAGTTTATAATATAGAAGGAGACTTACTAAAGTGCCTGGATTTTGGCTATTCAGAGCCGAAAGGTAGAAAGCTGTTTCTGTACCAACATTCAACTCAAAATGTAACAAACCGCGAGGGAAGACGATGAGATCTCCCGGGTACAGAATGTGGATCTGAGCTTGTCCTGCAGTCAAATGGTCAAGAAGTAAAATATCAGGGAAGGGATTCACATATCCATCTAAGACATAAGCAAATCCAATGATGATTTGCATCAAGTTGCAAATATCATAACCTTTGGTGTCGACGAAACCAGCCTGAAGTGGACCACCACTGATCAAGGAAAGGAGCTCTGTAGCACGGGGGTGGGTGTGTGGTACGTTCTCTCCACACGGTACCATTTTGAACTGAACAACGGTCAGACCCTCAGACCTGCAAATGCCAGAAGGAGAAAAGATGTAACTCTATTTAGTCAGCCAAAGAATATCCCTTCTATAAGACATGTCTTTTGTGCATCTGGTTCATAACCCAGTAAGAAATAAATGTGTTGTTGGAATCCACGTACGTAAGGCCTGGGAACTTTCCGATGTCGAGAGCTGCTCGAACGCCTCCAGATCCAATAGATACATCTCCATTGGCAAAGATGTTGCGGAAGACAGGTGTAGTTGCGTTTGCTGAAAAGTCGACCAGAGGATCGGGATCGGCAGCCTCGACTCTCTGTACCAGCAACAGGCATGTGCTGTAAATGAAAACAAGCATGACCATGCCATGCACCATCTTGGACTTGCAATCAACCTTCGAGATGTTCATGATCGCCATCTGTATTCAAATTTTAGTGTGAAAATGAGTCCACTCGATAAAGTAGGTTGCCAGGATATGTGACTGAAACCGATGCAAGGGAAGGGAGATCTTCCTGATCCTGCTTGAGTGTTGTTTTGAGCTTGCCTTTATACACCTGAATGAGTTGTGTCACCTCGAATGAATTCGAGGTGTTTTGACCGTTTCTTATAGAGAATAGACCCAGATACGTAATGCACGACAATTTTGTCGTGCTCAAAATTGTCGTGCATTACGTATCTGGGTGCTATTTTATTGGAATGCTCTCACGCTTAGCTTGTGAATTGGTAGCTTGCTACATTTCATGTATGGGTAATGCTCCACCTTAAACGTCATCGTCTCTTAAAATCATTTTTGTATGAGGATTGAAAAGCTTTCATATGTTCTTCTGTGAATGTTCATGTCAGGTCCTCTTCAGGCTAAAATATTGGGAGTAGGGTCAATTTGATCACTATTTCGAATCAAATGGTCCTGTGCAGCCACACTGTTCAGATCTTCAATCATACACATGTTCCTTAATTCCAGCCCAACCCGTTGTATATGAGATTGGAGATGAGCCTCTCTGTTTGTGATCATTCTTGGGAGAGAAATTTGAAGGATCTCAAGTGAATTCAGCGGAAACCGATTGACTGAGTTCGCCACGATTCTCGAATTCGTTCCATGCATGTATTTTTCGCTAGAGTGTGGACAATGTACCTAAACGTACTTGAATGACAAAAACCTTCGTTGTAGCCTAAAGACAGCGAGTTTACAACAGAGCACCCGAATGATCAGCAGCGAAGTGTGTATAGAGTATACGAATATATATGCCTCTAATATTCGTGCAACACATCTTGGGCACCTCCAAATTCGACATAGGTTCCTTCGTATGATAACCCCTCATTTCACGAAGTACTCTGTATAACTTCCCATTGATGGATATTTTGGTGTCATGTTCAGATTCCAATTCTTTCACATCAAGAACCGATCAAAACATATTTTCCTCATCGAACAATCAACTTGATACTTCGTGAGTAAGGAGGCGTGAAACAGTGGATGACGCGCCAACTGTAGAGAGAGATCCAAGGTCTGCATGTTCTTTAAAGTATTGTTGTGCACATTGTCATGCAGACTTCTATCATAGAATCCATGTGAACATGCAGAGGAAAGAAATTCATAAAACATATAGAGAACAGTAGCATGTTATAAAAACATTTATCCATACATGCACAGCGGTCTGATCTCTCTAACAAGAATTAGCACAACGCGACAGTCGATGATCACAAGATATGTACAGCAAGATAGGGCTTAAACTGACCCTACTTCCACTATCATGGCCTGAAGGAGACCTCCCATGACATCTAGACAAGAGAAGATAGATTCCTTTCAATTCTCAAACAAAATTATGATGGAAACAGAGCTGCAGTTGATAATGTTCAAGTATGGAGCGTGCCCAGACATGAAATATTGCAACGCACCAGTTCACAAGCAAAGCGTGAGAGCATTTCAGGAAATTAGATTCCAGATACATAATTCACGAATTTTCTAAGTATCGAATTCAAGATGACACACCTCAATCAGGTGTATAAAGCCAACTCAAAACTATTCTCCAGCAGGCTCAGGAAGATCTTCCAACTCTTGGATCAGTTCTCGGCATAGACCTTGACTTCCCACAACATCCTCTGTTTTCATTTTTCACACGTGAAGTTGAATACAAGCGACGATCATGAACTTCTCGAAGGAGGATTGCAAGTCCAAGATGGTGCATGGCATGGTCAAGCTTGTTTTCATTTACAGCACATGCCTGGTGCTGGTACAGAGAGTCGAGGCTGCCGATCCTGATCCTCTGGTCGACTTTGCAGCAAACGCAACTACACCAGTCTTCCGCAACATCTTTGCCAATGGAGATGTAACGACTGGATCTGGAGGAGTTCGAGCAGCTCTCGACATCGGAAAATTTCCCGGCCTTACGTACACAATTTCCAACCAAGATTCTCTTTCTTACTGTGTTATAAACCAAATACACAAGTAACATGTTTTCTTGTCGAAGAGAAATTCTTTGCTTGAGTACGCATGATTTATCTTTATATTTTCCGAATATTCGCAGGTCCGAGGGTCTGACCGTTGTTCAGTTCAAGATGGTACCGTGTGGAGAGAACGTGCCACACACCCACCCTCGTGCCACAGAGCTCCTTTCCTTGATCAGTGGAGGTCCCCTCCAAGCTGGCTTCGTTGATACAAAAGGTTCTGATGTTTTATACATGATTCACATCATCATTACATTTTGCCTGGGACTAGTGTACAGAAGAGGAAAACTCCTGTTAGTTCATTTCTTAATACTTTATTTTACGATTGCAGGAGAAACTCATATAAACATTCTGTACCCGGGAGATCTCATCGTCTTTCCTCGCGGTTTGCTACATTTTGAATTAAATGTTGGTACAGAAATAGCATTCTACATTTCTGCTCTGAACAGCCAAAATCCAGGCACTTTGGTAAGTCCCATTCCATTCTATTTTTCCGTATAATTTCAATTATGATCTGAAGACATCATTCCATTAGAGGAATAGGATATAATTTAGTGTCCACATATATATACTGTATTGTGTCCAAAAATACGATTACACATATTATCGATGGTTCTAACTATGTGGTCTTTCTTCAGGATGCTGCTGGAGCGGTTTTGCAATTGCCGGAGCGTGCAGCTGCTATAGCTCTCAATATTGATATTGCAGCGATTCGAGCCCTGAAATCACAGAGACCTTACAACGAGCCCCCGACTCTGGAGGTTGCCAAGCCAGGAGTGTGTGTGCCCGGCCAGTTGGTTACTACCACCGTCTGACAAGATGTAGAGTGAGTGGGCAGTTCGATACAGAGGACGCCACCACTTTAGTGCTGAGATCTTACAAAACCATAAGCTATGTTTATGCAATAAGCACATCTCCTTTCATATATATGTAATTTCTAAGCATTTGTTGAATGTGATGTGTGTTGAGGCTTGGGCTACACTGTCTTCATATACATTCCTGAGAAGCTGCAACTTATTCTTTAGAGCTATCCTTTACAGTAACATGGGCTACAACTTTCTGACGTCAACTTAGAACTTAATTCTTGTAAAAGCACATCCTGAATTATGCATTCAACAACCATAAATATCGAACTGAAGATACATCATCAGTAGGTATATACAACTCCGATCATTAGTAGGTTTACGCAACTATTTCAACTACGATCACATGAGCACGTTAAACCCTCGGTCTGATACAAGAGATATTGTTCGGCAAAATGTGATTTGACAAACGTTCATAGAATTTAACTAGTAGTGACTGTCCAACTGATAGTTGGACAGTCACAAATCTAAAGCTTGACTTTCGACATCAAGATCTTTTGCTAGCTGAACCTGAAGAAGAAAGCTAATTTGCACATTTCAGCACACTCGGCTCTTTGTTTGTACTCTGTTACTTGTGTTACCAATCAAAACTTCATATTCCTTAATCATGACTGTCGTGCACACTTTAAAACATCCAAAATTTGAAACTGTAAAAATGTTGAAACAACCCCAAAGATTAACCCATCTTCAAATTCGTTTAGATAGAACGTAATCTACGTTTTTATTACGAGCCAATTAACCTCGCAGGTATTTTGAGAACATACGATGAATTTTGATACAGTTTTAAAAAGAGAATCAAAATAACACTGAGATCTTTGTTGTCAAAACAAGATCATTGTAAAAGCAAAACTCTAGCAGATGCTTGTGACCAAGACTTTGAAACAATTTCATTCTTGTTTCTCGATTGTTTTTTATTGAATGATGCTTGTAAAAATTTTAGATAATTTTATGAATTTGATAATGGCAGGCTAATCTCTTGTCACATGGCCACTTTGATTATATTTTAACTCATTCGCTTATATTCTCCATTTTCTGATGCGGCAGACTTCACTTATATCTATTATTTCTATTGATTCTAAGCTTTAGAAAAGTTATAATCAGTTGAACTAAATTAATTAAAAAAAATTTATAGTCTATAAATGTTGTTCACGTTTTCTATGTTAGTAATTTACAACAATATGAAAATGAATAACAGTAGTGTAATTGGTAAAAATAATTGGTGTAAGTAAATGTTTAGCAATGTACATCTCTGCAGGACTTTCAAAGTTAGAGATAAGCAAACGAAACCTGCAGGCGCTATATAAACAGATCTGGGTCACTGGCAACTGAGCTTTCAGTAAACCCACAATTTCATGTTACAGATGATTATTGACAGCACGCAATCCAAATCATTGAATTTTTACAAGCAAATTCTATCTCAAGAGGCTAACACTCTCTGCCTCAAAATCTCCTCCCGACCTGGACGAAGAACAGGTTATTTTCTATCTAGAAGCTGAAGATATGACTAGCCACGAGTTTTACTCAGTGTAAACCAGGCTTCCAAGTCAAAGCGTTATAAATTTCATTTGCGCCATGAAGATCACTACAACGATCTTACATTCAATATCAAGCAAGAAACACAATAATCGACATACTCACAAAAGACTGTATTTCCACATGAACCTGCTCAAACGTCTCGAAATCTCAATTTATTGAGCAAGACCCATTGGGTCCACTTAATCTGCTAATGGCGTCTGGAGAAACATCACTTTCAACAGATCTAGTTTTGTCTATCCATAAAAGACTTGGTATTTAGACATTCGAGAGAAACGATCCTGTTCTCTGACAGTTAACTTGGAAAAGTGCTCTTGTAATCAATCTGAATGCTTGCCACCATGTTTCTCCTTGTTCTCATTGTGGATTGCTTCCATGATCGTAACAACGGCAGCGACAAACGCCTGATCAACGTTGGGACTCACAAGCACTCCATAATTGCTCTTTCCCGTGATCATAGAGGTCAGAGAGAAATGCTTCTTGGCAACCTGCAACAAATAAAGGCACATCATCTTCCACAAGAGCAACTCAATGATTTAAAAAAAATTCATCTGAAATCATGAGTAGAAATATGCACCATCTCAAGTCGCAGAAGACTTTAATTGACCAGCCCTTCAATGGATAATAAAAGTGTCATTTCGCTTCTTACGTTTGAACTGCTGAAGTACATACCTCTGCGGCAATTGATGCTCCTTTGAAAATGATTTCATAGTTGCGACGAACAAAGTCTCCCTTCACTTGGAACGTAGGTTCTGAATCAGCCTCGAGTTGAATCTCGTATGTCAATTCTGCCGCGTCCCTCATGTTTTTGTCCCAAACAGTGAAAAGTTCTGTCCAACTCTCTCCTTTGTACACTTGGTACGTGTCGTGTAGGGAAATTTTCTGTACAAAGAGTAAGATCCACATATGAAGATTTTTAATCCTTGTGGTTTTCTGTGTAGCTAGTATATCTATGATTAACACGTAGGCAGTGAAGCATAGAGCTCTCTGACTCCTAAAAATTTCCACTACCAACATTTCAAAAGGTTTTGCAATCACAGAAAGTAGAAGTGAAGATGCCAGCCAAATATCGGAACGGCCCAATTCGAATGTTCTTTCTGATTGGGAGCTGTGATTGCTGACATCAGATTTCTGGCTGCGACCACAAACCTGAACCCGAATGGACACAATTTCAAACTACTCCCTTTCAAGAATACCATATCTGCTTTTCTTCTCGACAGCATAGAAAATCGCCGACACGATATCTTCCAGAACTGACCTTTTTGTGAATGCTGACCACAGGGCAGTCACCATCATCGCGCAAAACTGTCAGTTCTCGTAGGAAGACCTTCTTCTGATCCAGCTTGAAAAGCGTGTGACCCTCAGAATCAGTGATGACAAAGTTACCATTGTTGTATTCCAATACCTTTTTGGCAACTGTGAGCTTCACCTCCGAGGGCGAGCAGTACTGGGCATCAACAATTACTGGAAATTCCATCTTTCAAATCTGCAGTGAAGAAATCCTCAGGCTGTCAAATCTCACGTGGTTGTATGTAGGTAAGCAGCCTCCAGATTTATTTGGAGAACTAGGTACATGTACAACTTGAAGTTTGAAAGAATGCATTCGTCACGTCAAAAAAGTTTAAAATAGAGATCTTGCTTAGATCTACATGCTTAAACTCAACGAAACTCAAAACAAAAGAACTGAATCATGAATTTATAATCAAGAAGATTGCTAGAAGGTGACAAATCAGTCCACAAGATGAATCTGAATCTGAATCTGCTGACGACGTGAATCGTCTGGCTATAAATTACACTATGGTGATAATAACAAGTGGTTTGATTTAAGAAAGAAAAAGAGAGAGAGAGAGAGAGAGAGAGAGAGGGGTACAGCGATTCCAGCTTTCTTACAGCGTACAGCGAAGAGAACAGAAATGCAGGAGTTGGCCTGGTAATCTTGCTTTGCTAACTTGCAATGATGGGACTGAAACAAATCTGTGCTGAGAATGATCTGACAGCATCGTCTATTTGTACTCGGGAAGGTGTGGTGACATATCCACTTTGAGCAGTCTGATGTTCAGCGAGATTCAACCTTCCATCTTTGGCGATGTGGAAGTTAATCATAGGAGAGCTCGAATGGGTGAGATGGTAAATTACAAGTGGAATCCTTCAAGGTCTCGCTGTAAGTTCGGAAATGAGCTAGACTCAGAATAAAACAAGATTCAGCAGTTTGGATGTTTGTAACCTCAATTTTTCCCGGTAAAGGTCATTCCATGCTGGCCAAAACAGTGGAACACTTCCTGTCGATTTGACGGCCTGAGGATTCATGCTCATAATTCTAAAAATGACATAGTATCTTTGAAAACGTCATCTGTCCTTTCTTCATTCGAATTTTGAAGGGAAAATCTTGTGGACCCACACTTGTCTCTTCGTTGCAACTTCAGACCTTCTCCTCTTGTTCTGAAGATAGAAACATGGACAGTGTCACAATCATTGATTCGTCGAACAGTGAACTTGTTGCTGGCAAGAATCTGGATGTTTTGAGTAACCAGCTGTGAATGCATGCTCAATCTTCAACCCTACTAATGTTATGGTCACAGCACCATTCTCAAGCTGATGCGTGGATGCAAACAGGAAGATGACGCTCTGTTATACGAGGTAGATCTACTTGCCTACAGGAGAATTGTAGAGCTAATGGGGTTTATAAACGGCTTCATAAAGAACATAGAATGCAAGGACTACGTGGTAATGTACACCCATCTGAACTACATCAGCATGCTATGGGTAGGAATAGGTCGCTGCTGATGGTTATGGTCTGTTCTGGGTACAGACTTGAAGTAAAATGTTGGCCTCTGGTGCAAAGTCCCTTCTTGATTATCTTCTACTCTGCACTCTAGAGTTCACTATGTGCCCTCAGGTACTATGCTACTTTATAAGGGTTTAGACTGAGAAGCGTCCATCATGGGTACGTAGTTGAGACGTAACCCGAAGCAGAATTCCTGATGTTTAGATATCACTCTAGCGATTTATCAATCGACCGTAATGTTCATCAATTCGGGCCTTACTATGAAAGGATTTCGGAGAATCCATGCGTCCGTTGACGAACTGAATGTTACTTCTTGTCTCGTGGTGTGTTTCGACAGTAAGGGATACGCATTAGAAAGTACTATGAGGAGTGTTTAGATAATCTAGAATCGGCTTGAATACGTCTTCAGTGCTGAGTGTCGCAGTCGGTGAGATATTGAACAAAATTGTGAGGGAGAGCGAGGTCGGATGGCAATTGAGAAGCGAGAGGGAGAGCTCCCCGATGGCAGCGGGTGTCCACGCATTCCGCTCACCGAGCACGATCAACACGCGAGGAGTTGCTGGAATGTCACCCGGATTATAGGTAAGTTTTTTCACGCGTGAAATTACGTGACACTCGACATGTCCATCATCGCCTAAGAACCACCTATGTAGTGGATTTTGGACTTAGAGTCACTGCTGATGAAGTTCAGAGCTGCTGGAAGATCGTATATAGGTCTATCATCTCATGTCCCTTTCCACTACTACTGCACACATGCATGCAAAGCCCTGGCAGGTGGCGATAGAAGGCAAGAATTCTTGCTCTAGAGGTAACGTGGGAAGCTCAATCTTGCACTCTCACACAGCTGATTTTATTAGCAAGAATGTGACTGCAAGTCAACTTCAAGCCAGGATTGCAATTCAATCTCTAACATTTACAGAAGAGAGTTGAGATGTGATTCTTCATTCTTTCTTTCATAATGATTACCGGTATAACAGAATTTACATTATACAAGCTCACACATCCCTCTCAGCTGCAAGTACTCCTCTAAAACTAATTTCTCTCGAACATAAATCTTTCTCTCACTTCAATCCTCTTATATTCGCTGGCATTCAGGCATTGAACACTGCATCCATGTGAACGTGCATATAAGCCGAACGTACTGAAAAGTGAAAACCAGCTTCCTTGGTTCGGATCAGCACACATTCAACATCTTCTCAGACAGTGGTGGAAATCAACTGGCCAGGAACACACACTCCAGGCTTGGCAGCCTCCAGAGTCGGGGGCTCGTTATAAGATCTCTGCGATTTCAGGGCTGCAACTGTTTTTATATCTTGATTGAAAGCTACAGCCGCTGCGCGCTCAGGTAATTGCAAAACCGCTCCAGCAGCATCCTGAAGGGAAGAAACTTGTTACGAACTGTTCACAAAAATGTCTCATTCTACTCTTGGACATCATGTAGTATATATGGGTATGTAGAGCTACATCGGTTATATTCCTATTCCTGTATGCCATAACTCTCTTCAGATGACTTTGTAAAGTAAGGCTTCATAATATAGAAGGAGACTTACCAAAGTGCCCGGATTTTGGCTATTCAGAGCAGAGACGTAGAAAGCTGTTTCTGTACCAACATTCAACTCAAAATGTAACAAACCACGAGGAAAGACGATGAGATCTCCCGGGTACAGAATGTGGATCTGAGCATTTCCTGCAGTCGAATGATCCCGAAATAAAATTTCAGGAAAGCAAGTATCATACATATATTTAAGTCCCAGGCAAAATCCAGTGATGATTTGCATCAAGTTGAAAATTTTCAGAACCTGTGGTGTCGACGAAACCAGCCTGAAGTGGACCACCACTGATCAAGGAAAGGAGCTCTGTAGCACGCGGGTGGGTGTGTGGTAGATTCTCTCCACACGGTACCATCTTGAACTGAACAACGGTCAGACCCTCGGACCTGCAAATGCCCGAAAGAGAAAAGATGAAACTCTATATAGTTTCCCTTCTATATAAGACATGTCTTTCGTGCATCTTATTTATAACCCAGCAAGAAAGAAATGTGTTGTTGGAATCGACGTACGTAAGGCCTGGGAACCTTCCGATGTCGAGAGCTGCTCGAACTCCTCCAGATCCAATAGATACATCTCCGTTGACAAAGATGTTGCGGAAGACTGGTGTGGTTGCGTTTGGTGAAAAGTCAACCAGAGGATCGGGATCGGCAGCCTCGACCCTCTGTACCAGCACTAGGCATGTGCTGTAAATGCAAGCAAGCAGGACTATGCCATGCACCATATTGGACTTAAAATCCGCCTTCGAGAAGTTCATGATCGTCGTCTGTATTCCACTTCACGTGTGGAAAATGAAAACAGAGGATCTAGGAGATAGTCAGTGTCTACGGCGAGAAATGATGCGAGAGTTGGAAGATCTTCCTGAGCCTGTTGAAGATTTGTTTTGATCTTGTCTTTATAGACCTGAATGAGTCGGGTCGCCTCGAATTCATCACTCAAAAATGTCGTAGATTATGTATCTAGGTGCTATTTTATCCCTATGCTCTCACGCTTAGCTCGTGAACTGATGGGTCGTTACAATTCATGTCTGGGAAATGCTTCATCTTGAAGACAATCGACTTTTCCAATCTATATCAAAAGCTTTTATCTGTTCGTATCTGAATGTCGTGTGAGGTCCTCTTCCGGCCAAGGTAGTGGAAGTAGGGCCAGTTGGATCACTATTTCTAATCAATTTGTCTTGTGCAGCCAAACTGTTCAGATATTAAATCATCCACATTTTTCTTAATTTTCGGCACAAACCGTTGTATATGGGATCGGAGATGAGTCTCTCAGTTTTACATCAATCCTCTGAGGGAATTTTTAAGGTATGTACCTGCATTTTATATAAAACCGATGAGCTGAGTTCGCTAAGATTCTCGAATATGCTCCATGCATAGATTTTCACTAGATTGTGAGCAGTGTAGCTATACGTATTGAATGGTATATTCCTTTTCAACTTTATTCCAGAGAAATGAGCTTACTTCGGAAGATCGAGTCTTAATCTACAGCCAGCATGCAAGACAGCACTCATAGAACATTACTTGTATGGACCATTTGATATCGCATATAAAAGTCGAAGACAAGTACATGCAGTTGTCCACGTTGTACCGTAAAGTCAGCGAGTGTACAACAAAGCACCAGAAGGATCCTCTCCGACGTGTACATGGAGTGTACGAGTATCGACGTACTGATCCCACTATGGATTATCACAATGAGTTTTTACAGTGCAAAAATACTTCTTTGGAAAATAACATTCCGTGAAGATGATTTGCGAGGATTGTAAGAAGGCAGCAAGTCTTCACTTATCACCGACATGTGCAACCAAATCTACCGTCTCCGAAAGCATCTTTTGTCAAGCTTCGGTAAGGGAGAACTTTTAGATGCATTCTAACTTCCTTGAAACTACTGATCAGCCTTGCCAAGTTCTAGCTGTGACATGATCTAGACCCAATTGGGTGGAAGAGCTTAACTATGAAACGCTTCTCTAGCCCCAAATCTGTGCTAAGCAACTCCCGGGGGAAGTTTACACTTCGTCCGTCCGAGTGAAGGTTTGCACATACATAAACTGTAATCGCCTTATAATGCCTCTGATATTAGTCCACGACATCTTGGGCAGCCTCCAGATTTGACATAGGTACCTTAGTATGATCAAACCCCCATTCAGCAAGTATTTCTGTATTCTGTATTTCTTGCCATTGACGAATATTTTCGTGTCAGGTTCACTTTCCTCCTCTTTCACCTCAATAAACAGTCGCAACATGTTATTTTCATCGAACCATCAACTTGATACTTCTTGAGTAAGGAAGCGTAAAACAGTGGATGAGGCGCCAACTGTAGACGTAGATCCAAAGTCTGCATGTCTTTTATACTACCTTTGTGTACAATGTCATGCAGACTTCTATCACCGTATCCATGTGAACATGAAGGTATAAGAAATGTATGTAACGTATTCAGAACAGTAGCATCCCAGGAAAACAGTTATCCTTCCATGCACAGACTTCATTTGTCTTCGACAAGAATGTTCACAACGCGACAGTTACGTCTGCGAACATATCAGATCATCATATACAGATGATGGGGCAGAACATGAAAACAATGTGGATGATCACAAGATATGTACAACGTGGCAGCCTTTGATCATTTGGGATCACTTGACAATAGGGATCAACCTGACCCTACTTATCCTAACATGGGTTGACAGAGACCTCCCATGGCGTCAAGACAGGGTCGTCCATGACAAGACGAGATGAATCCTTTCAAATCTCATACAAAATCATGATGGGAACAGCGCTGCAGTGGATAGTGTTCAAGTATGGAGCGTTCCCAGACATGAATTATTGCAACGCACCAGTTCACAGGCTAAGCGTGAGAGCATTTCAGGAATTTAGATTCCAAATTACATAATTTACGAGATTTCTGAGAATCGACTTCAAGATGACACACCTCAATCAGGTGTATAAAGACCAGCTCAACTCGATTTCAGCAGGCTCAGGAAGATCTTCCAACTCTTGGATCAGTTGTCGCCATAGACCCTGACTAGCTAGATCCTCTGTTTTCAATTTCCACACTGGAGATTGAATTTACAGACGAGGAGCATGAACTTCTCGAAGGCCAATTGCAAGTCCAAGATGGTGCATGGCATTGTCATGCTTGTTCTCGTTTGCAGCACATGCCTAGTGCTGGTAAAGAAAGTCACAGCTGCCGATCCCGATCCTCTGACCGACTTTTCATCAAACGCAACCACACCAGTCTTCCGCAACATCTTTGTCAATGGAGATATATCTATTGGATCTGGAGGCGTTCGAGCAGCTCTCGACATCGGAAAATTCCCCGGCCTTACGTACACAATTTCCAACCACAAATTTCTTTCTTGAAGTGTTGTAAATCAAATACACAAGTAACATGTTTTTTGTAGAAGAAAGAACTTTTTCTTCAGTACGCAAGACTTGATCTTCTCTTTTCCGAACGTCTGCAGGTCGGAGGGTCTGACCGTTGTTCAGTTCAAGATGGTTCCGTGCGGAGAGAACGTGCCTCACACCCACCCGCGTGCCACAGAGCTCCTTTCCTTGATCAGTGGTGGTCCTCTCCAAGCTGGCTTCGTAGATACAAAAGGTTCTGATGTTTTATACATGATTCACTTCATCATTACAGTTCGCCTGGGACTAAAATACAGAAGAGGACAACTCCTGTTAGGTCATATACTATTATTTAATTTTTCGATCATTTGACTGCAGGGGAAACTCATATAAACATTCTGTACCCAGGAGATCTCATCGTCTTTCCTCGCGGTTTGTTACATTTTGAAGTAAATGTTGGTACCGAAACAGCTTTCTACATTTCTGCACTCAACAGCCAAAATCCAGGTACTTTGGTAAGTCTCATTCTATTCTACTGTTCCGTGGTTTACCAAGTTTCTTCAATATTTAATATGATCGAAGACAGCGATCCATTACACGAATAGGAATCGTATAGACTCCAGTATCCACATATACTGTATTATGTCCAACAAAAGGATTACACATTACTGTCCATGGTTCTAACTATTTGCTTTTCCTTCAGGACGCTGCTGGAGCGGTTTTGCAACTACCGGAGCGTGCAGCTGCTATAGCTCTCAATATTGATATTGCAGCGGTTCGAGCCCTGAAATCACAGAGACCTTACAACGAGCCCCCGACTTTGGAGGCTGCCAAGTCAGGAGTGTGTGTGCCTGGCCAGTTTATTATCACCAACGTGTGACAAGATGTACAGTACGATACATAGACCGGCCGGCACTTCTTAAGAGCTCACATCTTATGAAGCCGTAAGCTATGCTTATGCAATAAGCATAGCTAATTTCATATATGTAATTTCTAAGTATGTGTTGAATGTGAAGTGTGTTGAAGCTTGGGTTACATTGTCTTGATTACATTGCTGAGAAGCTGCAACTTGTTCCTTAGACCTATCCATTACAGTACCATGTGCTGCTACTCTCTGAGGTCACCCAATAACTTAACACTTGTAAAAACACATCTTGAATTCGGTTTGCGCCAATCATATATATTGAATGGAAGATTCATCATTAGTAGGTATATTCAACTCTCTAAGCTACAATCACATGAGCACGTCAGCCCCTCGGTCTGATACAAGAGATATTGCGAAACGAAATGTGAGTTGACAAACGATAATGAATGACAATGAATATTAAGAATGAATGCAAGAGTATTGAAGTATGTTCGAGGAAAAATTTAGTTGTAGGGGTGTGGCTGCAGCTGAGAGCTATATATGAAACTGTATTCTGTAAATTTTGTAATGCCTATGATAGGCAAACAATAACACAACAATTCTGATATCTGGGAAGAACAGATTTATCAGAGAATTCAGACCGAAATTTGATTTGCAGCTTCATTCTTGTTGAGAAAAGTGTGAGAGTGCAAGAAAAGACCGGTAACTGTCATTCTTAGTCAGATTGCAAGTTTATTTATTGGACCCTGCCTCTACCATACCAAGGTGATGAATTGATACGCAGAAAACACACTATCCTTATTTCAGCCAACATTCACTTTGGGTTTGAAGGTGACAAATACCAATCAATAATTAACATATATTTAATATTGACTCTAGTGTACACTTTAAAGAATCCAAACTTTGAAACTGTACTAGTGGTGAAATAACGAGAAAGATAAATCCATCTTCAAATTGTTTTGGCTAGACCGTAATCTACCTTTACTTTCATTACGAGCCACTTAATTTTGCAAGTATTTAGAAAACATACGATAAATTTCGATACAGATTTTAGAATAAAAGTCAATATAACATTGAGATCTTTGTTGTGAAAACAAGAACATTATAAAAGCAAAACTCTAGTAGACGCTTGTACGAGTTTTTTAAGCACTTTCATTCTTGTTTCTAGATTGTTTTGAATTGATGAAACTTTGTGAAACTTATATATGATTGTTTGAAATTGGAAATGGCACGTTAATCTCTTGCTACGTGGCCACTTTGGATATAATCTAAATGATTTACTTGTATTGCCCATTTCTGATTCGGCAAAAATCACTTATTCATTCCAATTTTATTGATTGTAAAATTTAGGAAAAATCCAATCAAATAAAAGTGTATGATATAGTCTACAAATGAATCATCACCTTGTGTACGGTATTACATTTTCAAGAATATGAAAATGATTCACAATAATGTAATTGGTGTGATTGATTAGTGTAAGAACATTTTGATCAAAGTAGAGCAGCTCACAAAAACACCGCTCAATTGTTTCAAAAACTCAATTTATTGAGCAAAGACCCATCGGCCCCACCTAATCTACTGATGGCGTATAGAGAAACACTTCCTACAAATCTAGTTCGTACATCCATAAAGGACTTGGTATGTAGACATCCGAGAGA